CCCGAGGATATGTTCATTGATTTGAGAGAGAGGGAGAGAGAAACATTGATGTGAGAGGGAAACAACCTCCCATACATACCCTGACCAGGGATAGGTCCTACAACTTAGGTATGTGCCCTGACTAGGCTTCTCTAGTTGGGCTTCTCTTTTTGCAACTCTGGTTTTTCTTTCATGGGATGTTCTTGGAATTAATCCCTCAATATATTACCTCTATATTCTATAATGATCACTTTTTTAAAGGAACCTTCCTGCACCTTTTGTGTGAGGGACGATGCTCCAACCGAGCCACCCGGCCCTAGCCGCTTTTTCTATAGTCCCCAGATAAGGAACCTGACAGAACTAAAGATGCTAATATTTGGTTTGTAAAAGGTATAGAAAATACCTTTTCTTTGCCTCACTCTGCCTGCTCAAATTCAAGTTTATTACTCGCGGGTTTTCCTTTTCTTACCCTTCAGCTTGTAAATCCTTGAGGGGGTAGGACGTCTTAATTAAATTACAGGCTTCTTGGTCATACTGATAAACTAAATGCTATCTTTTTGTTGGTCATGGGAAATTCCAGGCTGGTTACCCTTAACAACCTGCAGAGACCTTAGTTTAATGCTGTTGCTGCTGATGACTCCACCCTGCCATTGCGAGCCTTTACTCCTTCATTGGGGAAGTGACGCTCCGCAGAGACAATTCAAGGAAAGCAGACAGTGGATAGCATGAACTGTGACAATTATCCTTCTGCTTCTTATAAGTGAGGAAAGTAGTTCAGATTTCTAAATTTTACACTCTCCTAAATGTCAAAAGTTAAGTTATAATAGTATAGAGGGAAATAGGTGGGACTATGGAGATTAGCCAATATAAAGTAATACTATTTTTGTACACAATCAGAGAAATAACAACAATTAAGGACAACTTACAGCCACAGAAATTCCCAAATGGGAAAAACTATGTCACAAATGAAAGTACTTATTATACTTACTGCCTTGAGGCATTTCTTTTTTATGTTCCCACTTAGCTATAAACTCCTGAGGGCAGGAACCTAGCCAATCTTGTTCACTACTATATATCTGGCACCTGCCTCATATTCTGGCCTGAACAAATACTTGTTAAATAAAACACTTAATTAGCATACATGTAGTAAGGAATTTGGTTTCACTTAAAGAGAGGTCTGGACTTTGCTTTAGCGCTTGAGAGGTAACCTCTAAACTCTTGGAATTTCCCCAATGATAGCAGTGTCTTTATAATTCATGGTGGGCCCCTGGGGACCATACCTCGCTGGTAGTTTATGCCCACGCAGTGATTCATGGTGGATCTCTAGATAGCTTATGCTAAGCTATTAACTCAGAATGGGAATGGCTACATCAGAAACACCAATCATATGATTAAAGGACTGGGGCTTTGGTCACTGATAACCAGCCTGACCGGGAGGGGAGGGCTGGAGATTGAGTTCAACCATGTTGCAGTAATTCAATCTCGTCTACGCAATAAAGACTCTGGAAGCTTAGTAAGCTTCCCTAGTTGGCAATACTTCAATGCCAGGATGGTAAGGCAGAAGCTTTGAATTTAGAACTCATCCTGAATCACCTGTATGTATCTCTTCCTTCGGCTGGTTCTAATTTGTATCCTATTGTTATAATAAAACTGTGATCCCAAGTATCTTGCTTTCCTGAGTTCTCTGAGTTGTTCTCGTGAACTATTAAATTTGAGGGTAGTTTTAGGAAACCCCTAAACTTCCAGGTGGCCTTAGTAGTCTTGGACTGACTTAACCAGTCTGAAGGACTGTGTGCTTCACATGGAATTAGTCTAACTCCAAGCAGCAGGTGGTATCTAACAGAGCTCCTCTCTTTTGCAACTATGGTTTTTCTTTCATGGGATGTTCTTGGAATTAATTCCTCAATATATTACCTCTATATTCTATAATGATCACTTTTCTTAGTGAACCTTCCTGCACACTTCCTTTACAAATCTGTAATAATAATGTAATAACAAAAGATAAAGAAAATACTTAGTGTTTAATATTACAGATGAAATAATCTGAGGCACCAAGAAGTAAATCAATTTGCCCAAGGTTGCTCATTTTGTAATGTGCCAGAGCTGTTATTTGAATGCAATCAGTTGGGCTCAAGAGTCTGTACTTTTAACTGCTATATCATATACTGTTTTGAGTGTTTGCAGTTGGCATGACTGACGGAAGAGACAGTAAGGGATGCAAGTAGCTTAAAGGGGTGAAGGCCAGGGATGATAGATGCCCTGCAATGAACAGGACACAATGAAGATTATATACCATGTTTCTCACAACTTTCAAGTGTGAGACATTCATGAGGTTATAACTTTGTTTTGAAATGTTTGTTATTAATGGCAACATTATAACCCGTAGCATTTGAGTTGCTAGTACAACACACCAGTCTGCATTTATAGCTGTCATGTTCATGGTAGATCTACTAGTACATATGAGTGCCAGCATCATTTTACTACTTCATTACATTTCCAGTACAGTCATGATCAAGAGGTTAACTATTACTTTATTATAAATTATTTCTTCTTTCTAATCAATTAGGGCAACATGTTGATTTTGAAATTATGGATATACTCTCATCTATGAAGTTCATTTCAGGATCCAAAAGGCTCCTATATTTAATTGTTGAGGACCCACACCATTCTATGAGGGCTATCATTTTTAAGGGTTTTTCTTGGAGTTTTCCTCTGATGACTTTAGTCCATGTCTTTCTAAATTTGTACGCACAATGAGAAAACTCACAATTTGTTGCTTCATGTTCTTTTTAAAGTACTATTTTGAGGGCAGGAGGTAAGATTAGGAGTCATTCTGTGTCAGACTATTCAATTTATTTCTACATAAATAAACCTTTTAAAACTTCTACTTTTTCTTTGTTTAAAGATCTACCCCTTTCCTTATTTATGGTACTGGTGGATTTCTGGATGCCATCCTTTTTACTGCCATTTGGTCATTCTGTTAGCTTGTGGGGATGAATGTTATGATCCTGCTTCCCCAGCTGTACCACTGGGAGTCCGTTGTGCACACTCTTTGGATAGAGTGCTTTCCTTTTCCTTTGAAAAGATCATTCCAATACATATTTTCCTTCATTTAAAAGGGTGAATCCTTCAATTACTTTGTGATGAATTAAAATTTACTATAACTTTTCTAATCACAACTGCATTCTTATTATAGCTAATAAAGTGTGAGAGTCTACTCAGGGTCCATTATCATATCACTTGTGAGAATATTAGTTAATATTGACTGAGCGATTGCAATGTGCCAGTCACTGTTCTAACAGCTTTATATTTATTATCTCATTAATCTCACAACAATCCTATGAGTTAGATATTATCTCCATAGGAAACTGAGGTACAGAAAAGTTACCTACCAATTTGCCCCAAATAACATAACTAGTAAATGGCCACGAAGGGATTTGCACCCTGGTTATCTGATATCAACCCAAGAGGTTTATCCACTAATTTTTTTAGGTGCCTCTTTCCCCTCAAGGACTAACTGCTTCATGCTAGGTTTTTATTTTTATTTTTTATTACCACTTTCTCTTTGCAGCATACCACAAATACTCAATAAATATTTGTTACTTAAATATGTAAAAGACTTATCTGCTTATTTTCACAGCTCCCCCCCCAAATCACTTTTAATCTTCATTTTCATTTTAGAAAAAAAAAAAAAGGCAAACTAAAATCTCAAATACGGTTCTTGCTCATTTCTGAGTGGTTAGAAGATAACTGCACTCTATAGCTTAAAAACAACATTATAAGCTTAATAGTTTTCACCTATACTTTCTAAGTGAACTGACCAAAGTTAAACAGAAATGCATGTAGCTCTTCTGAGTATTTCATGACTTTGCAATCACACTTGCGTTGACTTTGCAATCACACTTGTGTCAAAGGGGAATTTATAGCAATAATCTGCAAGAACTGGGCATCCTCTCTCCCACTCCAGCAGAGCAGCTCTATGCTCCAGGGCAGCTCAGGTCACCAATTACGCACCCCTGCCAGCCCTGGAACCAGTGATGCACCAGATCTATTCAAACTACCTGTGCCCCATCAGAACTCACTGTTCTATCTCCTAGTTTGTCAGATTTCTGACACAAATTAACAGAAGGTCAAGTAGATTATATATCCTAGGCAGCATGCTTGATTTAGGGTGAAAGGTTAGTGATCTAATATGCTAACACAGAAAAAGTTCTTGTTCTTTCTCTCCCTGGATTGACTCAGTTGGTAACTCAGTTGGTTAGAGGATCATCCCAATATGCTATGGTTGTGGGTTCAATCTCTGGTCAAGGCATATACAAAAATCAATCAATGAATGCATGAATGAATGGGACAACAAATCGCTATTTCTCTCCCTAAAATCAACTAAAAAATAAAAATAAAAAGTGATTCAGATTCTATGACAGGCTGATGAAGGAGGCATTATTTAGAGATAGGCAAGACTCTGGCCTCTCTTCTGATCACACCTCATAAGTGACACTAAAGAATTTAGACACCAAAGCAATAAGTAAATGCATAATGATACAACAGAGAGAAACACAATATTAAATTTTCAAATGAAAACAGTCCCATAATTTTAATAGCCTAAGGTAAAAACAAACACACACACACATACACACAAAACACAGCATAGTAGAAACAGAATAATTATGAGAATAAAAATCTGTTAATGTAGACAATAAGTCTTTATGGTAGAAATTTATGTATATAAACTAATTCAAAGTGGCCAAGAAACCTTATATATTACAGATGGAGAACAGTGCCAGAGAAAAATGTACACATAATTAAATGTAGGTAACTTGCAGAAGTAAATTGAGATGACAATGGTTTGAGTAGAGCAAATTAAAAAATACTTACAGAATGAAAAAGTTCAAATAAAAAATGCATGTGTTAGAGGAGGAATTGTTCAAGACTAAGAATGTACTTCTATTCTTTGCATTTTAATAAAAACGATGCAATGGCATCATTAAAAACCGAGTTAACGTATTTTGAAAATTACTTACGTTGATGATTGATGAAGAAGTTGACAAATTTAAACCTTCAAGATCGGCTATCAAGCTTGGAGAAAGAGCTGGTGTGGGATGTGCAATTGGAACAGATACCGGGTTAACTGGAAGAAAAGGCCCAAATTAGCAAATGTGCATGAAAATTTAATTCATATTATTAAAAGCAACATTTTTATTTTGTAAGTCTAATTAAATTACATTGATTAATAAATTTATGTCAATGCTATTTAACATCTTGATGTAGTCAAGTTATTAACAAGTCATGGCAATTATTAGTCTTAGCTTTTGAAACATCATGGCAAATCCTATAACAAAATAAGGATATAAATATCTTGAGTAATAGTTTTTGAAAATTTTTATCACATAACATTATTACTAACATTTATCATCCAGCAACTTCACTAAAAGAAAAAAATGAATTAAACATTAAAAAAGAAACATTTTTTTTCAGACTAATATAAAGAATAATAGCTTTCAAGAGAGTTCTCCAGTTGAGTTAGAAGTCTTTCTCTACTTTATTCTCCACTGTATTAATTACAGGACACAGATTATCTAATTCCCTTCTAATCATACTTTGTCAGCAAAACCTATGTGCTAGCTAAGGAGCACGTTCAGCGCCAGACGGTCACCATGAAGTCCGCAGCAAAAACCGCAAACGCCACTTCAAAGCTGCAAGATCCAGCTTCCCTGCTCTCCAAGGAGCTGTGGCAGAAGTACAGCATCTGCTCCCTGCCCATTCGCAAAGACCACGAGGTCGAGGTGGTCAAGGACACTACAAAGGTCAGCAAATTGGCAGGTGTACAGGAAGAAATATGCCAGCTACATCGAGCGGGTGCGTGAGATGGCTAAAAGCACAGCTGTCCATGTGGGCATTCACCCCAGGAAGATGGCTATCACTGGCTAAAACTGGACAAAGATCAGAAAAAAATTCTGGAACACAAAGCCAAACCTCAACAAGTTAAAAAAGAGAAAAGCAAATATAAGGAAGAACTTACTGAGAAAATGCAGGAATAAGTATAACCTGTGGTGCAATCACAGCTTAGCTGTAGTTTTAGCCTGATGCATATTCCTTTGAAACTTTTCTATTTCTTCCCTTCCTGGTTTGTTATTGATATACTAGAAACCCTATTCATGAAATTCACGCATGGGGTGGGAGGGTGTCCATCAGCCCAGCCTGCACCCTCTTCAATCTGGGACCCCTTGAGGGATGTCCAACTGCTCATTTAGGCCTGATCCCTTGCCAACCCAATTGCACCTAACTGTGCCTCCCCTGCAGACCTGGTCCCCCCCAACTACCCTCCCCTGCAGACCTGGGTCCACCCACAACTATCCTCCCTTGCAGGCCTGGTCTCTCCCAACTGCCCTCCTCTGCCATCCTGGTCCCTCCCAAGTACCCTCCCCTGCTGGCATGATCTCCCACAATTGCCCTCTCCTGCAGGCCATCTTTTGGCATCCATCTTATGTTCACATAGGGGCAGCCATCTTTGACCACATGGGGGCAGCCATCTTGTGTGTTGGAATGATGGCCAATTTGCATATTACTCTTTTATTAGATAGGATGGCTCTGTAAATCTATTTTTGCTGTTTTGATTAATTTTATAAATAAAACTTGGAATGATTTCTTAAAAAAAAAAAAAAAAGCTATGTTTATTCTAGGACTCCTATGTACTAGAGATCAGATATCTGAAAGTTTAAAGGTATTTTAAAAATGTAAAGCTGATCATGTTACTTCCCTCCTTAAGACTTTTGAAAAGCTCACAATTGCCTGCAAAAGTCAAAATCTTTAATTAAGTGCACAAGGTGCTCTATGATCTAGCTCAGCATTATCCAATAGGACTTTCTGTGATGATGGAAATGTTTTGTAGCTGAGCTGTCCAATGTGATGACCAGAGGCAAACACACGAAGGCACTCTTGAAACATTGCTATAATGACTAAAGAACTGCATTTTTATTTTTAATCAATTTAAATTTTAGTAGCTATGTATGGCCAGTGGCCACTATATTGGAAAGCTCTAGCTTACCTCCAAATTTATCAGCTGCTACCGAATATTTCCCAAAATCTTATTTCATGTCTTTGAGCCTCTTATTTTTTATTCCCTTTGCCTAAAAGGTTCTTCTCTGCCTTGCTCACTTTAAAACTTCTACCCATTAAGATACCACTTAGAGGGAAAGTACAATCTGACTCACCTTAACATAGCTTATATGTGCCTTCCTTGTTACACAGAAATGCATGGACATACTTCTACAACCATATTTCTCTCGTAATACAAATTTGTCTTTATACGTTTTTATTTCTACTAGTCTGTATTAGTACTAGTAGAAATAAGTACTAAGTAACTGCTCAACTGTTTACGGAGTGAAATAAATGGAAGCTTGAAAAAACTTTTAGCTTCCTTCAAATTTTCACTCCAAAATAATACTATAAAGTAACATTTACTTAATTTGACATTTTTCAAAGTATCATTTTTTCATTTTAGTCTCACAATATCCCATAAATTAGAACAAATATTAATTAATATTTCTTGAATGAGAGCAAGGGAGAGACAACGTACAAATTATGGTTCAAGATATGGTCCCTAATAGTTCCCTTTAGTGTACAAGATAAATCCAGCCCTCTTAGCTTTCCAATTTTCCTGAAAAAGGTAGAAAATTGGAAAACTAAAAGGGCTGGATTTATCTTGTACACTAAAGGGAACTCACCTAATAAAAAAAGATACACATGCTTGATGTAAAAAAAATAATAACAACAATACAATGCATAAATGATATTGCTAAAAGAAGAAATATTTCAAAGGAAATCTATATATATAAAAGCCTAAGCAACCATTATGACTGGATGACCTGACTGCTGGATCACCAGTAGGTAGCTATTATGCACACTGACCACCAGGGGGCAGACGCTCAATAAAGGAGCTGCCCCCTGGTGGTCAGTGCACTCCCACAGCCAACCTCCCACAGTCCTTCTCCCCAACTGGTCAGCCTGATTGACCCCAATTGCTGGCCAGGCTGAGGAATCCCACTCATGCACAAATTCGTCCACTGGGCCTCTAGTCTTAAATAAAATCTCAATATATACACTAGAAAATGCAGGGTGGAATTGGGTGAAGGAGAAATGGAGCCCTTGCTTTCTCGTTTGCACTCCTTTGCTGTGCCTGAGGCACTGCTACAAATCCCCAAGCTTCCTTAGACATATGTTGAAAACCTCTGTACAGTTAAGCAAGTGCCATGCGGAGTTGGGGGGAAAAAAAGGATCAATGGAGATACGATGGTAAGAGAAGGCTTCAAGAATAGGAGGAAATGAAGTCTAGTTTTTCAGTAAGGAGGATCTGAATAAGAGGAAATAAAGCAATTGGTAAGATAATGTAAACTAAGGCTGAAAGGTAGAAAATTGGAAAGCTAAGAGGGCTGGATTTATCTTGTACACTAAAGGGAACAGTTAAAAATCTACCAAAAAGATGCTGAAACCGGTTTAGCTCAGTGGACAAAGGGTCAATCTGTGAACTGAAGGGTCCCAGGTAATATTCCGGTCAAGGGCATGTACATTGGTTATGGGCACATCCCCAGTGGGGGGTGTGCAGGAGGCAGCTGGTTGATGTTTCTCTCTCATTAATGTTTCTAGCTCTCTATCCCTCTTTCCCTTCCTCTCTGTAAAAAAATCAATAAAATATATATATATATATATATATATATATATATATATTTTTTTTTTAAAGATTCTCTCTTTGTCTTAAAAAAAAAAATCTACCAAAAAGAGGATATCAAGTAATAGTATAAGGGACAGACTGAAGGAGCATTTAGGTTGGCAGTGAGAAAGAATTTACAATAGTTTTGGCAAGATGTGAAAAGGACTGAAGTAAGATAATGGCAGTGAAAAGACTAAATTTATACTAAAGAAATTTTAAACTGAGGCATAAGGAGATTGAGGCTAGCCAACGTCATAAAACAAGTGAATGCAGAACCACAGTAGAACTAAAAATGGGTTCTTATAACGTTGATCAAAATATGTTGCCTTTCCAAGCAGCAGGTAACTTTTCTGGTGGATTCTAAATGAATGTTTGTCCGTCCATCCATCCAACCATCCAAAATATTACATGCCCATGTTTAGTAATAAAAAGTGAGTTGAGCCGAAACTGGTTTGGCTCAGTGGACAGAGCGTCGGCCTGCGGACTGAAAGGTCCTGGGTTCGATTCTGGTCAAGGGCATGTACCTTGGTTGAGGGCACATCCCCAGTAGGGGGCATGCAAGAGGCAGCTGATAGATGATTCTCTCTCATTGATGTTTCTAACTCTCTACCCCTCTCTCTCTTCCTCTCTGTAATAAACCAATATATATTATTTATTAAATAATATATATATTTATTATTATTATTATTTTTAAGCCTTTCATTTCAACTACGGCTCAGCTAAAGACTTAGGAAAAAATATCAAAGACTAGAGAGGAAAATTCATACCACAGACAAGCTTGACTCTTTAAAAAAAAAAAAAAAGATAGGTTTTTAATATAATTTTAGAAGAGGCTCCGGTATTAAGGAAATGATTACACATCTGTTTACAGGTCTGGCAAGATAAAAGCTGACACTGAAACTTTATCCAAATTGGATTCTGAGGCCAGCTGACAATGCTGAAGTATTTAATTAATGTGTAAAAAACAAAATGACTCTATGCAGTTTTTAAAAAAAATAACACGGCATAGAAATTAAAATGAGATACCGTTTCCACCTATGATATTGGCAAAGGCAATTTTTAAGTAACACAAATTTCAGCATAGGTAAGGGTATAAAGAACCTGGCACTCTCATACTAATATTGTATAAGGTGGTATAAGCTTTGTGGAAGGCAATTTTACCAACAAAATTCTTTAAAGCGTTTGTCCCAGCAATTCTACTCCTGGGAATTTATCTTAAGGAAACAGTCATGGAGATAATGCAATAATATACTTATGGTGATATGTACTGCTTCACTGATTATGATAGCAAAAAATGGAAACACGATAAATGTATAACAATAGTAAACCTGTTGAAGAGAATTTATTACAACAATATAAAGAATAACCATGCAGTCATTAAAAATAAGGTTGTTAAAGAATATTTATGGCACAGAAAGGAATGTGTATGATAAACAGAGAAAGAAACAAATAATAAAACAGTATGTCAGTAAGATTCAATCTGGGGAAGAGGGATTTGAAAAGAACTTGAACTGACTGTCAGAATGTAAACCCAGGTATTTGGATTAAAACCCATTTTTTATTGTTCTTTCTTTTTTTAAAAATAAGAAATTAAAATATTTTTGGTAGCATACAGGGCTTTTGACAGTTCCATAAGTTTGGGGGGGGGGGGGAACCTCTACAAAAATATTTGTTCTTTATTAGAGTATATTTAATAAAATAATTATATAATTATTTTTCTGATCCAAGTTTTGCTTTAAACTTTAAGAAGTAAAACTTTCACATATAATAATTTAATGTGAAGTCATTTAACTGGTTGGCATCTTTGTTAGCATCATCTCCGTCCATCATAGCTCATCCTTACATATGCTTATTACATGCCAAGCACAGCTTTAAGTGCTTTTACATTTATCAACTCACTTAATCCTACTAATGCTTCCAAATAAGTATTGCTATTATCCCAATTTTATAGATACAGCAACTAAAGCACAAGAGATTAAATAACATGCCCAAAGTTAAATACCTAGTAAGTAATAATACTGGGATTTGAACTCAGACACACTAGCCCCATTGTCCTCTTAGCCACTCCACGCTACTGCCTGTACTGTAATTTACTCAACAGTATGATATCACATATCGTAAGGCATATCTGAAGCATGATTATTGTCGGGTGATATAAATTTTTAAAAGACTTCACAATTAGTTAGTTGTAGTACCCTGTTTCCCCGAAAACAAGACAGTGTCTTATATTAATTTTTGCTCCCAAAGATGCACTAGATCTTATTTTCAGGGGATGTCTTATTTTTCCATGCGCTAGGTCTTATTTTTGGAGGATGTCTTATTTTCGGGGAAACACGGAAACAATGTAATTACATAGGTTTATGTTTCCTATAAAAGAGCACCAGAAAATGATTGATGCTTTATGATCATCCTTTTGAGATGACATGGTATGAGATTCTAAAAATATTTTAATTTCCATAAACATAAAATATGACTGGAAAAGAGAAAGCATATTGCCACTTCTAAGCTTAATCTATCATATGGACATACATTACCTCAGCATAAATATTTTCTAATGTATTATCAACTAACCTCATGAAATAGTCATGTAATTTCATAACCTAAAGGAACTATAGAAAGTATCAGCCATTTATTTTTCACTTTACAAATGAGTAAAATGAGACAAATTAACTCAATTGATTAAAAGGCTCTGATTTCCAACAGATACAGCAAGGAAATATCAAGTTCCTTATTCAAACCACAGAACTGTTTTTGTAGCCAGTCCATTGCTAAGGTTGCTAAGTACACCTCCTTAGAGAGAAACAATGATTACTTCAAGCAGCAGAGAGCTCTCACTCTTTCTTTCAGTTACTTCCCTTACTTTCTACCTCCTACTGCTTACTAATCCTTACACTCAGCTCAAGCATTAAGTTACATCTGGAAACTGCTAGGTGGGTTAGGTACCCCAATACCCAACAGCATTCTGGGCATATCTCTATCTCATTTCATTTATAATGTGTCAATCTAATGGCCACTTTACGTGTTTCCCCTATGACATTCTGAGAGTTCCCTGGGTAGGGACAATGTTGTATCCATTTAGAAACTCTAGCATGTAACAGATTACTTAGATCATACCGTAGAAAGTATTTATTTTATAAATGTTTTCTGAAGACATAGATAAATTCAGTACTTGCAATTTTCCTGATATGCAGTGTTTACCAAACAAGTAACTTCTGTGGATTATAATGTGCCTCTTATATGAAACAAGGTATGTGTCTGCCCCCTTTCAAATTCTTTTATTTATTTATTTATTTATTTTTATTTCAGAGAGGGAGAAGGAGAGACAGAAACATCAATGATGAGAGAGAATCATTGATTGGCTGCCTCCTATACAATTCCCACTGGGGATCGAGACCCAAATCTGGGTATGTGCCTTTGATTGGAATCCAACCCATGACCCTTCAGTCTGCAGGCCAATGCTCTATCCCCTGAGCCAAACCGGCTAGGACTCTGCCCCCCTTTCAAAACTAATCAAATTCTCACATCTAAGAAGTCATGCAAATGGAGAATAACTTTTTTAATTTTTGATCAACAAACTGCTTGCCATGGACAATGAGAACTAATATATGCAGGCTAATAAGTAGCATATAATGAAGTCAATATTTTAAGAGCCATTATCAACAATGCTTTTCTCCCATAACACTCCACTTATCTGTAAGTACAGATCATACTTCTGCCACAAACCTTCCTAGCTTTTTGTTCTCCTCCTCATTTTGTTACTACACTTCGCAACTCTATTAGATCTCTTATATAAATTGTTACCTGTTCAGGTATCTGGATCCCTGACTACATCTGTAAGATAAATTCCTAGAAAAAAATTGCTAGGTCAAAATTGGTAGGTGTATATGATTTAAAGTTTAAGAGATATTGTTAAAATAACTCTAAAATGCTACACCTATCAAAAACATTTGTAGAATGACGGTTTCTCTAAACTAGGGGTGTTGAACTCAATCAGAGAAGGGGCCAAAATCTAAAATCCAGCCTAAATCACGGGCCGAATGGTTTACTGAACAGTCATAAACTGTCATTGTGATGGAAACGCAGCGGAGTGCAGTGATGACAGCGCGGTGCGGGCCACATTGCAAGGCCTGGCGGGACAAATTTGGCCCTAGGGCCTTGTGTTTGACACATGTGCTCTAAAGCTTTGCAATAACGGATGTTGCTTTAAAATCGTTTTCAATAGGTAAAAAATTATGCAAACTTTAAAATCTTCACAAATAGGTAAAAAATTATCCAAATTTGGCTCCAATTTTATTTTAATTTCTCTATATTAAGTATGTCTCTGTATCATATATTTTGATTTCCCTATATTAAGGAATTTGTCATGAAACAGTCCAGGTAAATAATATAAATATAACAGCTTTATGTTCTGTTTATAAGAATGAAACAACCTACAAATATAACTCACCTCTAGCATGGGAAAACTATATTGAAAAATGATAGTAGTTTAATATTCATTAAGTCTTAATTGTTACTCTTGTAGTGCAAAACATACCTACCAACAAAGTCAATTCCACTATCTCTTTCTCACAACGAAGAAGATGGGCATATATCTTTGCACACCTGGGTTAGTATATTTGTATGATCTAAGTTCTTGGAAGTGGGTGTGCTGAGACAAAGATTTTTTGTAGTTAAAATACTGACAGATATAGCCATTCTCGCCTCCAAAAGTTTTTTGTACCTAATTCTGTTTCCATCAAAAGTGTGGCAAGTGAAGATGGTGGTGTACTTTACATTTGTAATTACTTTCCTTATTCCCTACCTCCTTAAATTAGGTATCTCAATCCCCATAGTCATTTAACAATGTAGGAAGTTGTGAACTATAGATAACCAGAGGCCTGGTGCATGATAATTCATGCATTGGAGGAGGAGATCCCTCAGCCCAGCCTGTCCCTCTCACAGTCCAGGAGCCCTCAGGAGTGGGAGGCAACCTGGTGATCAGGGAAAGGCGATGCTCCATCACACCTTTGCTGCTGCCACTACCACTGCCAGCCCTGGTTACCTGAGCCTTGGGTGGCTCTGGGTGGCTGGGCAGCGGCCATCCAAGGCTCGCCTGCGACTTGGGCCTGCCGTGGGTGGCTGAGGGGCTAAGGGAACTGGAGGGCTCCAGAGGCAGGCACTCAGAATGGCCGGCCCCACCCCCGGCCATCTTTGAGGGCCTGGCAGTCAATTAGCATATTCTCTCATTGGCTTTGGGTGCCATTTTTGTGACGGGTGATGGTTAATTAGCATATTCCCTCTTTATTAGATAGGATTATTTACTAGAAAAAGTATAAATTACTAAAGCAAAAGATCTTAAAATGAATTTGTGTACTTTTGTCTGAACAATTATATTTATTCAAATAATACATAGATTAGATTAAAAGATACTAATAAAGATACTAAATAGATTAAAGATACTAATAAAACTAATTTCTACAATTTTCTTGCTATATTCATCTACAAATTTTTTTATAATAGCTGTTAATATACTTTGAGACATGTAAATGAAAGGTACTCCAAAAATAAAATATCTCACTAAATACAGAAGGAAAAATTTTAATTTTAATACTTACAATCATCCAGATCAAGAAGTGAGACATTTTTGGTAACAAGATTTCTATCTTGCTTTATTTTTGTTTCTTTCTCCTATAAAATAAGAAATATATAATTTATTGCATATTCTATTTAAAAAACCTAAGAGGCAGTCCTTTATGTTTTAAAACAAACATTTTTCTCTGCATAATTTTATAAGAAAAATAAACTTCTATGTGGGTAAACAAAATGGTTGTTTTTAATCAAAATTTTTATTTCGGTTAGCATATGTATTTCTTATCCACCATGCAAACTGTTAATTATTTTTAAATATTTGGTGTTTAAAGATTATAAAGAACCTTCAAAAGAAAATTTAAAGGGAAATAATTATTTTATAATCTAACATTTTGCTAACATAAAAAATGTAATATGGCCTTGGCCAGGTAGCTCAGTTGGTTAGAGTGTTGCTTCAGTATGCCAAGGTTGAGGGTTTGATCTCTGGTAAAAGCACATACAAGGAGAAACCAACAAATCCATAAATAAGTATAACAACAAATCAATGTTTCTCTCTTTCTTCTTTCCTCTCTCTAAAAAAAAAAAAAAAGTAATGTGGCTCTTTGTTAGAAAGAGTACAAATATTTTTTAAAATAATTTTTAAATAAGTTGATTTAAGAAAAAACACTCAAACAATATATGAGATGGTCAATGGCATGTGATAGATTAGCCTTGCTGAGATGCAGTTTGTGACATACATTGTACCAGGTACTTAATATTTCAACACTGGGTTGGTTGTGTCAGACTTCTGCCAAAGGTATTCATTAAAATCTATAAATGGGCCTGGCTGGACATTTTCAGGTTAGTATTCTTTAGGATGAAAAGAATTCACTTAGTTTCTTTACTGTTTTCCTTTGGAAAGAGTATTTCAAAACATACCTGCACATAATTAAGATTTCCTCTACCTCAGATTTTAACTATGGACTAGAAAAGTGTCTCTAAGCCTGAGTATACATAGTTTGCTTAGAGATTCAAGGGGAAAAAAAGTGTAATCTTTAAAAAAAATCAAGTACAATATGGAGTAGCATCATCAACAATTAAAGACAAACAGAGATTAGGGTGTTAAATAGATGTATTTGAATCAAGGTCATCACTTATCTTTATAATGTTTACCTTCTTTTTGCATTAAATCTTCTCAAATTAAAGGCCAAAACTTTAATTTTTGCTAAAATGTTTTTGTTTGTTCATTCATTCATTAATAGATATATATAGAGAATTTTTAATATGTATCAGATTCTGTGCTAAGCAATGAAGTAACACACCCAAAACAGACATAGTCCCTGCTTCAGATAACTTATAATTTATCAAAGGAGTTTATAGCTTATTGTATACGGAAATTATTACAAATATGTTTGAAGTATTTTTTCTAAACACAAAATATTAGTAAGTTATTACTACCCCATGCCTGCATGAACAAGAGCAATACACCAAATTTCATGTTAGGTAACATTTTAAAAAGATTTTAAGTTCTGTTTTCTTTTTCCCCTACTGCCAATACTCAGGAAAAAAAAAAATACTTTCAAGGCTCACACAATACACATTAAAACTCTAAATAAAAATATCAGCATTAATTTTTTTCTCAAATTATTTCTGCCATTGAAAACTCCAAATCAACTAGATAGGTTTTAATTTTCATTAGTTATTATAAACAGCATTTACCCCCCCTCCCCACACACACACACCTCAAATGAATAACAATTTCTAGGGCTAACAAAAGGAAGAAATGTTAGTTTTGAAGCTGAAATGTAAAAGCTGTAAGTAACAAAAACAGGCTCAGAAAGCAAATGCCATCTCAACTACAATATCAGCCTTGTGAAGAAAGAACATATAACAAAAAGAGCTTATTACCATGTGACTTATCAACATGCTATGCTGAGCACAATGGGTGTAGCTTCCCATAAGCTACAATTGTGCATGACTGCCTTTATGGAACTGTAACCTCCCTACCTGAAAAATTAGAAACCTTTCAAATTGAGATAAAGTTAAAGCTGTAGGCAAGTCTATACCTTATTTTCTACTTCACAGCTAAGAGTTTGTAACAATATCTATTAAATACACATCAGGTCACATATAACACAGGACAGAGCTGCATGTGAAATTGGTTTAAAACCTAAAACATACAGAAAAAATGGCTCTCAAAAGGACAGAGTTTCATTGACTTTCTGAGAACAGCAAATAACCAATGACTGAAATACAACATTAGCAATAGATAATGGTCATTTCTACTAAATTGAAAAAGCCTTGCATTTTGAATCAAGGCTATAAAAAGCTTCACGATGTGCTTGGCATTCCTCTCTTATGTTATATTTCATTTTTCATTTTAAAAAATCCATAGTAAGTTCAAAACATTTTCATACTTAAAGGATCTACTATAAAAATAAAAATCTGAATTCTAAACAAAGAAGTTAAGAGCCCTATTCCATCAAACATTTCTCCATTTGCAATTCATCTTGGTAATAGAGACAGAACCTGGGTAAATGCATATAAGACTTGAGGCAGGAGATTTTTCTTGCTCAATGCATAATTCATGTGCTCCGCCTGCAAAGTGTGTAAAATGAGAATTTCACACCGCAGCATGAGCCATGGAGCTGCAGAGAAAAGGCAGATGAAATCATATTTTACTGTGTGAATTTTATTCCTTACCCTCCCAATATTTATACAAAACCATCATTGACAAACCAAACACATTGACAGATCACCCACTGTTTCCATTGTGTTAGTACTTGAGAAGATATCAGGCAGAAACACAGATAATTTGTTTTTGTATATATTTTTTTAAATAGAGAATTAGGTTTTTAACAGCTGAGTGACTGTATTAGTCTTTTATAAGGACAACAGTAACTGATCTTAAGATCTCCCTATAAAAAAAACCTAGCTATCAATTCATCACCCTCAAATCCCCATTTTGTTTCTATGGTATTCAATTATACACCTCAACACATCAACATTCTCAAAATGAAATACAAAGTTACAGGCTTAAGAAACTAATTTCTATTTAATATATGTCATTTCAAATAATAAATAAAAGATCCTGGAAAGTTTTATTAAGCTCCAAATAATAAAATGTTTGTTTGTATTATATCTGTAAATATATCTGTAAAGATTTTTTTATGTATTATGCATGCTGGATTTTTTTTTTTTTTAAAGCAAGTAGAGAAAAAAAGATCTTATAAGACAAGCATAAAATATGCTTCCTAAGAGGAAACTATTGCAAAGAGGTTTGAAATTTAAACCATAGAAAAGGTTAAGTTAAACCATACCATCCTGAGTAATCAACAAAAATTCAAGGGTAATTTTTAGCTTCACACAGCAAGATATTTGCATGAAATATTTTTAATTAGAATTACCAATCAAGTACCATTTAAAGACTCCCTTGCCTTCAAATTATCTAACAATTTTGATTTTAAAAATCTGAGGCTCACACTTACAATGTGCTTTGAGACAAAAAGTTACATTACCAATAAATTAAGACTACTTTATAGGTTAAAGATTAGTCTAAACTGTTAAACAAATCTACCTTATTAAATTATACCTACTTCAATAAGAAAGCTTGCTTAATGGCCTTTACTATTATTTAAAGATTCAACTGAAGTCAAATAATATTTCTATTCTGGAGAATTTAAAACGTCATCAACTAAACTGGGAAAGATATAAATTGAAAGAGGCAAAGCTTTGAGTTTCAAGAGTAAAAACCAATATTCTACGATATTCACTTAAGTTATATAATTGCAACATACATAAATACCTGTGAAAATACAAGTAAAACTTGTTTCCTACATCTCAAATAATGTAGAAAATAGTTCTTTCCATTCTTATTTATAATCTATCTCATACCAAATGCCAAAATATTTTTAAACCCAATTATTTGGAGGAAAAGAATTATTTCATAAAAAAGACTAGACTCAAATTAAAATATTTCTCCATCATATTACAGGTATTTCGGAAACAAGCACTTAAAAATAAAAATGTGCTTGCCCATCAAAATAATTGTAACTGAAAAACAAGATATCTTTTTTTGGTCATTACTAACAATATATGATCTCAATTAAGGAGATCTCTCAAACAATATATAAAGAGCCTGGCCAGTGTGACTTAGTGTCGACCCATGAACTAGGACAATGGTTGGCAAACTCATTAGTCAACAGAGCCAAGCATCAACAGTACAATGATTGAAATATCTTTTGAGAGCCAAATTTTTTAAACTTAAACTTCTTCTAACGCCACTTTTCAAAATAGACTCACCCAGGCCGTGGTATTTTGTGGAAGAGCCACACTCAAGGGGCCAGAGAGCAGCATGTGGCTTGTGAGCCGCAGTTTGCTGACCACAGAACTAGTTCACAGTTCAATTCCAGGACAGAGCACGTGCCTGGTTTGTGAGCTTGATCCCTAGTAGGGGGTGTGCGGGAGGCAGCTGGTCATTGATGTTTCTATCTCTCCATCCCCCTTTCTCTCTCTGAAAAAATAAAATAAAATATAAAAAATACAACCTTACAAAAATAACACCATAATGTACGACTATAGTTTTGTGTCATATGAATCTGCTGGGGCATAGAGTCAAATGACAAACACTACTGCAACATAATTCAACAGACATTCTTACCATTTGACTGTCCCTACACCATTCACATGAGTAATACCCTCTCATCAATAATTTTTTTTATCTCATGAAGTCTTTCTCAACTATAAGTAGAGGGACCACCCTTTAATAAGGGGCCACTTTCTCCTCAGCTTGTATTTCCTGTAATAAGAGAAGTGTAAAAGGAAGAACAAAGACATAGAAATGGAAAAGTATACAACATGTTAGGAGAACAAAAAACAGTATATTGGGATCAGAACACAGGGAACACAAAGGGGTTTAATCTAGAAAGGAAGGTTGGGACATGTTAGTCTGAGGATTTACTGAACTTGAATGATAATGGAGCATCATTATAAGTAATGTGAGCATTAATCTGACAGCTGCAGAAAAGGACTGGGATTGGGGAAGCTCTGTGTATGACCAATGGCAATGGTCTATGAGTGAGGTAATAAAGAACTGATCTAGAATGGTGGTGGTAGAAAAAGAAATGAGGTATGTGAAATAACACAGAGAACCTCTAAGACTTGGCAACTGCATGAAGATGCAGGATGAGAGGGGAATCAAAGACAATTCTGGAGCTACTGATCTGGGAGAAAAAAGTCTGCTACCAAATGGCAGAGCATGGATCCTTCTGGCTATATTGATAGGTTTGGGAAACCAGTGGCTCCTGACAGATCTAAGAAATTGGCTTGAATTGTTATAGCTGTTGTAGGGATTTAGAAATGATATTATGGAAGATGTGCTATAAGTTTTAGTTAAAACTATAGGAGTGAATAGGTCTCACAAAAGGAAAACTTGTAGCGAAAAAAAAGACAAAACAAAATAATTCACATTAACTTCCATTTATTAATATATTTTAAATTAAATTTATTGGAGTGACACTGGTTAAAAAGATTAATTTTAATACTTTACAGGTCTCAAGAATACAAATATACAGATGATGTATCATAAGTTTTTTGAAAAATTATATATACTTAAGCACTAACTTTGGGTGTCAGAAGGTGGTAAAAGTGAAGCAATTTTGACTGAAAGGTCAAAGAAGTCAGAAGAAAAAGGATGCAGAGTTTCAAGCAGTAGAGGAAGAGTCATAAAAGTTCCGAGAAGGATAATTACTGAGAGAAAGCCACTGGAAGGGGGAAGATCACGGCTGACTTTTCAGAGCAATATCTGTAAGAAGTGATAAAAGTGAAAACCAATTTCAAAGGGACTCACTCAGAAATAATTAAGAAGCAGTAGGTAGAGATTATCTAGATTATTTTTCTAAACTCTCATTGTCACACACTCACTGTCTCTGACTCTCTTCAACTCCCTCCTCCCTCTCTCTCTTTAAATGCTGGGAAAAACTTGAGTGCTTTGGTTAGCGGAGGAAGCATTATGGAAGAAAAAGACTAAAGGTGCAAAGGAAGCTGATGATTCTCAACAAAACAAGGCCAAAAGGAAGTAGGACTTATTCTTGGTTCAGTGGATAGGGTCACTTACTCAGAGCTACCAGTATTCAAAGAAAAATAAAGGTAAATAGATTGTGTGTTAGAGAGCAGAGAGTGGTAGGAGACACTCACAGCATATGGCAGCTCAGTATTCTGCAGGAAGTGGATGAGATCACAGGCTGCAAGTAAGGGGTCATCCCTGAATGTTGACTTATAACTTGAATAGTATAAAAAGAGGAAAAAACATACGGAAGACATAAGAGTTATTAAAAAATGTTGGTTCCTTTTAGCATTGGTGTTCTATAATGCTAATATTGTTGCTCTCTCATGGAATTAATGTTCAAGTAAAAAAATGTTAATACTGCTCTGGCTAGTGTTTCTCAATGGCTAGAGCATCAACCCACCACACATTGAAGGGTTGCAGGTTTGATTACTGGTCAAGGGAACATACCTGAGTTACAGTTTTATTATCTGGCCCCAGTCAGGGTGCATTTGGGAATCAACCAATCGATGTGTCTCTCTCATATCGATCTCTCTAAATATATATCTCCTTTTTTCTCTCTCTCTTCCTCCCTCTTCTCTCCCCTGTCTCTATCTAAAGGCAATGGAAAAAATCCTTGGGGATTTTTTTGAAAAAAAAAAAAAGTTAACATTGATGTTTTATATTTATAATGATTTTCCACATTAGATTTTTTATAGCAACACCTGAAAGAAGTAAAGTAGTTATTAGCATTTCTATTTTATAGATGAGGAAACTAAAGGTTAAAGATATTATCGCCCAACAATTATAAGACTATGCCTATCCCATGGGACCACCATATTCAAGGTACCTCTAGTTCTCATTTTCATGCTCAGTATTCCCAAAACACATTGTCCAAATAAAAGAAATGAAAGAAAAAGAGTTAAAAGTATAGGATCTAGTTTGGCTGTTCAGGACTAAAATACTGTCATACTAAATTAATGTAAAGCACCCACCATCTGTCTTTATTACTCATAATTTAGAGCAGAAGCCACAACATTTGGTGCAAGAAGAACTCTTCTATAATTACAGAGTTGCCAATGATTAAAAAATTGGTGTACTTGTAATTGCATGGTAGACTCCAAATCAGTCAGAAAAAAGTAGAAAGAAAAAAAATAGTTATGGGGTTCTAAGGTAGAAAATATTCAAACTAATATAATAAATTCTGTCTGTCTATTACAGACAGGAAAAGGCATTCTTTTATAGAGAAAGTAAGCTATATAAGCAAAACACATAGACCTAAAGCTATTAAGAATATGAATAAAGCCTGAATTTCTCAAGAGTCTTGAATCATTGAAATACTTCTAAATTTTATAATGATTTTCTACAGTAAAATATTTTCAATTACAAAGAAATGTAATCTGATCATTGATAGTCTTTAACAAACCTGAACCAAACTGAACTGCTGATCTGCAGTACCTCTGTGGCTTTTTAATGGTGTCCTAAACCCCTGCTTCCAATACTATAGAGGATCTAATTTTTCAACTTTTACAAAACTCCATAAGATAACTTGTAATATATTAAACAATAAAGATTTAAAAAAAAAAAAAAAAAAGGATAACATTTTCATTCCACCTGCTTGACATTCACTGATTTCTTGCTTTGTCATTTTTAAAAACACTGACTTCTTAATCTGGGTTATACCTACTGTTAATTTCTAAAGCCCTTTTATTTCATTTTAAATAACACCTTAAGCTATTTTTTTTTGTAATTTAATATAAGTAGAAAATGAGAGGATATTAAACTATGTAATAAGTTTTATACAAGGCCAGATTAATAAACTTGTAAGATTTGCTGAAACCGGTTTTGCTCAGCAGTAGAGCATTGGTCTGCGGACTGAAAGGTCCCAGATTCGATTCCGGTCAAGGGCATGTACATTGGTTGCAGGCACATCCCCGGTAGGGGGTGTGCAAGAGGCAGCTGGTTGATGTTCTCTCTCATCGACGTTTCTAGCTCTCTCTCTCCTTCCTCTCTGTAAAAAATCAACAGAATATAAAAAAATAAAATAAATAACAAATAAAATAAACCTGTAAGATTTTATGTAAATTTTTTTTAAAAAAAATCTTAGATATATCTCTATATATAAAAGCCTAAGCGACCATCCAACCATCTATGACACCCAATGGCCACCAGGGGGCAGACGCTTCAACCAGTAGCTATGATGTGCACTGACCATCAGGGGCAGATACTCAATGCAGTAGCTGCTGAGCTGCAGTGATTTAGCAGCTGCGGTTCTCTGGCACCTGGAACCAGAGAGGCGGGAGCCTGATTCCAGAGTGCATCACCTGAGAACCACCCTTTCGCAATCTGGGACCCCTCGGGGGATGTCAGAGAGCGGGTTTCGGCCCAACCCCACAGTCCAGGCAGAGAGACCACCTGTGCACAAATCTGTGCACTGAGCCTTTAGTATATAATATAGAGACAAGTTTTGAATATAAATTCAAATTTAAAATAGGTTATAAAATATATGCAAGGATATTTGAAAGATGGTAAGACAAATATTAACCAATTTTAAACATGCTTATTCTTTAAGAATAAATCTCTGAATAGAGGAGGGCAATTATTATATATACTTGAATGGATTTATTTTCATCCTTGGCTACTCTAATGAGAAACTTTAAGTACAGAACAAATAAATGGGGGTGGGGGGATATTAAGTATAATATTTGCTTTTGATTTCAAATATTCTTTTATTATATAAAAAGTATTTTTTATTTTTTTAAAGATGTTTTATCAGTAATAAATGTTGTCTTACTGAATTCTTTTTCAGAAAAAAAAAAAATTGAATTCAATTTAAAAGATAAGACTTGACCATATTTTCAACTTATAGAATACAGTTTATTTTTAAAAAACCTCATTTGAGCCCAGCTGGTGTGATTCAGTGGTTGAGCATCAGACCATGAACCAGGAGGTCAGGTTCCATTCTTAGTCAGGGCACATGCCCAGATTGCAGACTCCACTCCATCCCCAATAGGAGCCATGCAGAAGGCAGACGATTAATGATGTTTCTCTCTCATCAATGTTTCTATCTCTCTATCCCCCTCTCTTCCCCTCTCTAAAATCAGTTTAAACACACACACACACACACACACACACAATAAAAAAGTTTAAAAACAAAACAAAACTGCATTTGAAGCATAACATCAACATGATCCATTTATAGGAAGGGAGTAATAACCAGAGATTAGAAAGATATTCATTAGGTTTGAATTTTGTATTAATAACTACATTTTTGCAACTTATACTTTATTTTTGTTTTTTGTTGCTAAGTAGACAAGGTTAAAGGTTAAAAATATATCAATAAGTGTAACATTCTATTACATAAATGGTGCATACCTTTGCTTCTAAGTACATGGCTACTGAATTTTTATTAGTTATGGAATATATATCTTCTGATTTTTTAAAAAGGTTATTAGTCACAATTTTGTAGGCCACATTTATATTTATATTCCTTTGCTCAATATTATTTCTGCACTTCCTTTTACTTCCCCTTTAGCAAAAACTCCCTTGTCACAACCTAGCCAAGAACAACAAAGGCCATACTCATAATTACTGAGCTCTTTAATTTCAATGGCAAATGATGAGGTTAAAAACAGTTTCTAACTTCTCTGAAAGGTTGAATTATAAGGGAAGCAATTACCTAGAAAATAATAATATAAAAATCAGAGGTGTGGATTAATGAAGATAGTGTTTTAGTTGTCAGTGACAATATTAAATTCCTTTCTTAGATTCTTGATTTTCTATAACACTATTTTCACAAATATTTATTCTTAATTCGGAAAAGGCTATGAAAACATTTATTTTCAATTACAGCAAATGTGTAACTCTTACCTTGGTGACTTTTCTGGATTTAGATTCACTTTCTGATTTTGATTCAGATTCTGAAGAACTGTCTTCTATTGAACTCGAATCTCCACTGGAAGAATCTGAAGTTTCAGATTTCTCATTTTCAGTCTCCCCATCTTCAGAATCACTATGTATAAGAATAAATTTTGAAATATAAACTTTAAATTCTTTATATAAACAAGTTTAAGTAGTTTGAAAAAAAAAATCAAATGTTCTATTTGTCCAGTTTGCCTATAAATCCTAACATTCACTAGAGAAGAGTATTTCACTGAGAAACACGTCTTGTTAGTATTTAAAAAGATGATGGCCTGGCTGGTGTGTCTCAGTGAGTGCTGACCTATGAACCAGGAGGTCTGATTCTCCAGTCAGGGCACATGTCCAGGTTGTAGGTTTCATCCACCAGTATGGGGCGAGGAGGCAGCTTATCAATGATTCTCTCTCATCATTGATGTTTCTATCTCACTCCCTTCCTCTCTAAAATCAATAAAAATACATTTAAATTAGATCCCATTCAAAACTAATTATACCACATCACACAATCTCAAAAGCAAAAGATCATAAAATAACCTAAAATTATATCCTAAATTGAAAAAAACTAATACTTGAATGTTTGATTTACCAGAAATATATAGTAAGTGCTAACAGTAATGACTTTAAAGATAATTAGGTTGATTTTAAAAAACTGTCTCAAATTATTAAGTGTTTGTTAATAAGTTTAAGTATTTATACATGGACTTTTGCTAAAATAGACTTGCATTTTATAAATATTTCTGTCCAATAAAATTATTTACCTATATTCCTAAATGTGACCCTAAAACATATGAGAAAATGTTCAAAAGAGAATTCTTCTAATGCACTTAAGTCTTACTTTAAAAAAAAAGTAGGATAACTATATATAAATTTTTAAAATACCAAATGATCAAATCTAAGTGCGGATGTCATTCATTCATTCATTCATTCATTCATTCACTCTGTCCCTCATTTAACAAATATCTGATTGCCCACAATGTGTGCACTGCTAGGTGCTGAGGATAACAATGGTTAGCAAGATACAGATGATTTCCATGTGCTTCCTTACACAGCCTGCTGTCCCTGAAGACACAGAGAAGTAAGGTGCCATTGACAAGAAAGTATGGTAAGTAATAAAGCACAGTGTAGCATAAGAACATGTGGAGGGGCATCTCAACAAAGACTGCTTTCCCAGGACTTCACCCAAACCTATAGGTATTGCAAGCTAAGCCTGATGGCAACTGTGTGGCTTGGGCTCTTCAGCCTGAGGGCCAATTAAAGCTCAATCTGGAGATTCCTTATAAGATTCCAACAAAAAAGATTTAGGAGAGCCTATATGATAAATTACTATTCTTCTTGTATTTATGCAAATAATCAGGCCAAATTGAAGCTGGCTTTAATGCAACTAAATTGGTCATAATTTGGCTCTTTGGTAAAAATGAGGATAATTTTAAGGGGAAAAACTGTTTCGATAGAATCTATAATACATAGTTGTGAATATTAGAATCTAATTCAGTTAATTGACTTCAAAATTTTGTCACCCATAAACTGAACTGAATTACGAATTATTTTGTTTTCTTAAATATTTGGTTATAACCTTCCAAACTAATGTTTCCTTTTTCTCCCATCCTCTGACTTGGAATTATTGAGAACTAAAAATTTTGTTTCTGAGCTTTGTACTTGCAAATTATAGCCAAAGGACTTGACGTAACCTTGAAAAATAGCCACAACAGCTCATTCATAATCATTATGACTGTGTGAACCATGCAGAATTTACATCACCAGAGATATTCAAATAAGATGTGTAGATAAAAAGAATCTATCAGATTGTCACTGCTTGCTTTCATTCTAGAAAAAAACAACTTTGAGACTTACATCTAAAAATCTCAACTGACAGCCTTACAGACTTAGAAACAGGTTTGTAATTCTCTTTGGCCATTAACCTTTGTCTTTTTTCTTCCGTTTTCAGAGGCATACCCTTATTAAATACCTGACTGCTTGTTTACACAACGTAAGTCTCACTTTGGGAGCCCACCTGCATCACTGTCTTCTGAACTAAGACTCAACAACTTCACTGAACTGACTTAGTATCAGGATTACATGATTAAGTTAATGAAATATGGAGCAATCTACCAACTTTTATTCTGGATATAACAATTAGATATTAAGATGGTGATGCTTTGGGGATTCTGGACCATCACTACTCTGGAAGAATCAGCTAACAGGTTGTTCCAGTCTGAGATCCCATTCCCCTGTCTACCTTAGATCAGGCAGGAAGAGATTTCCATACCCTCTATGTGCAGGGACTACAGCCCTTGTCAGCAGGAAGCAGTTACTGAAGACCAACTGACCTCCCTCAGCAACCCTAACAGATTTCAGGGATAGACCTCACTGAGAGGAAACGAGACAGGCTAATAAACCAGGACAAGCAGAATAGGGAAACTGAGACAGTTAAATGGACAAGCCGCTTACAACCATCTGATAAATCTTATCTTCCCTAATCAAGGACACTTAGTGCTAATGGTTTACACTTCTCTTCCCAACCAAATGGAAGATAACAGAAATCCAATTAGTGCCATTTGTGCCCAGGATACTCAAGGACAGATGAAGTCACTGGGAATAAATCTCATTTTGGCACAGCAACATAAAGCTGATGAATATCCTGTTGAGATCCTTCCCCAAAATCTCCCCTAAATTCCCAGCCTATAAAACCCTCAAAGCAAAGGACCCTGCAGGTGCTCTCCCTCTCAGGAGTCTATGGGAACTTTTCCCTTCCCCCTTCTGGTCCCCCCCACGGTCTGTAACTGTGCCTTCTCGGTCCAGAGCTCCAGAAGAGCTTCTGCCTCTGTAACTTGTTTCCTGAGCCTGTGCAGCCCAGCTGGCTCACTCCACTACCTCTGTAAATTTCTAAATAAACTACCTTTTATGATTTGAAAAAAAAAAGAAAAGAATAAAAGAATGTATCTTGTGCCAGGCACATTAGGAACTTCATACCAATCATCTAATATGACATTCCACCATTTTTTTATTGGACATTATAATCCTATTAGTGGCCCAGTGCATGGATTTGTGCATATTGAGAGGAAATTAATTAGAAGATTCATGCATTAATTACATTACTTCAAAAATTGCATGTCAAAATAGTATATAAAATATCCTATATAATAAAGCAGTAATATGCAAATTGACCTTCGCTCCAACACACAAGATGGCCACCCCTATGTGGACACCAGATGGCCACCACAAGATGTCCAGCAGGGAAGGACAGTTGTAGGTTATCAGGCCAGCAGGGGAGGGCAGTTAGGAGGTACCAGGCCTGAAAGGGAGGGCAGTGGAGGTGATCAGGCCTGCAGGGGAGGGTAGTTAAGGGTGACCAGGCCAGTAGATGAGGGCAGTTGGAAGCAACTGGGCATGCAGGGAAGGACAGTTGGGGGGGACGAGGCCAGCAGGGGAGGACAGTTGGGGGGATCAGGCCAGAGGGGAGGGCAGTTAGGGGTGACCAAGCTGGCAGGGGATGGGAGTTAGGGGCAATCGGGCCATTAAGGGAGGAGTTAGGCATTGATCAGGCTGGCAGGGAGGTGGTTAGGGGAGATCAGGTTTGCAGGCAGAAGCTCTTAGGGGCAATCAGGCAGGCAGGCAAGCAAGTGATTGGGAGCCAGCAGTCCTGGATTGTGAGAGGGCAGTCAGACATCCCTTGAGGGGTCCCAGATTAGAGAAAGTGCAGGCTGGGCTGAAGGACTCCCCTCATCCCCCATGCTCGAATGTCATGCACCGGGCCTCTAATAATATTATAAAATTAAACACGTGTGTGATTGGCACCAGCGAGAGCTTTATACATATCGCACAGTCCCTGTTTAATTTTAAATTGCCAGTGGGCGTCATATGTACCAGCCAACAGTCAGATGGTTGATGAATAAATCGTGATGTGGTTCACGTTGAATGTCAACAAAAACAACCAAATTCATGATCGACAATGACAGATCAAAACACACGCATGTGATTGGCACCAGCAAGAGCTTTATATGCATTGTGCATGCACAAGTCAATATTTATTTTTAAATTGCCAGTGCGTGTCATATGTACAGGCAGGTTGGTCAGTCAGTCACTGGGCCTTTTATATATATACAATACATAGACTAGAGGCCCGATGCATGAAATTCACGCAAGGGGCTTGGCCCTCGCAGCCTCAGCGGTTGTCCTTGGCCGTTGCAGCCCTGCTTCATTCGGAAGGTCGTTTGGCTGTCCAGTCTAATTAGCATATTATGCTTTTATTATTATAGATAATATTCAGTAAGGTTAAATAACCTGCTCAAGGATACATAGCCAGGAGGGGTAGAACTGTTATTTGAACTCATGTCTGTCTTATTCTAAAGATCATATTCACCCTACTACACCATAATAGCTCCCTTCAACTGAACATACTTTCTAGTATAAAACTCAAATTTAGTAAAAAATAATTATGATTAGCAAAGGGATTTTTTGAAGATACTTAAAGCTCCCTAGTTTAAAAAAAAACTACCATATAGTTATACACTGGCAAAGTTTAAAAAAATTCTGAGAGACAAGCAGGAAAAACACATGGGAAGGGAGAGTGGTGAGGCAAGAGAAAAATCAATAGTTTCTACAATTGATTTTTTGTGAAGGAAATATGATTGCTGTTTATTAAAAATGGAGTTATGGTAACATCTCAGAGCACATGTAATTATATTTGATGACTAAAAAATATGTTGTTGTTTTCCCCCTAGCAAAGAATAGCAATTTATTATCCCCAATTCAATGGTTAAAACATGTACTTAAAAATACAAGGTTAGAATGCAACTGAGATTCCCTTTGATGCATTAAACAATTCTTTTAAACTCCAACATGAATAAGAGAAAAGTCTATTTCTGAAAGAAAAAAATAATGAACTATAATCTAATACATGGTTATAAATTTCTAGCATACTGGCTTTTTCTATCTGAAAAGATATTTAGTGCACTGAACCAAACTTTTCTTTCCTAGAAAAAAGACACTTTTTATAAACTATGTAATCATAGCTATTCTGATATTAAACCAGAAGTACAGAATTTCTCTCAAAGAAAAGTCTATTACAAACCAAGTAACTCCTTTGTTGCAACAAGTGAGTAATTCTGAATATATTTAACTTCCAGCTTTTGAGATAAGATTTAAAGGTATAAGTGTTATTTTGTTATGCATCACTCAATTTTGATGGGTAATTATTGTTTACCTTACTGCTTAGAGTTTCAGATGTTAATCTAATGAAAAGAATTTACTGGTAACTAGCTTTTTAACTTTGCAATGATGAAAAGCCTGTATTAATTTAACCTACAGATTTCATTTGTTCTGAACAGGAAAAACAATATAAATCACTTTTAAAATCATTAAATCCTGACTTAAATTAATAAAGTCATAATTAGGGTATTATGCTGTGTTTGTTATGGAAGTGGCAGGGCGAGCTGCTTTAATTACTGTCTGTAATAAAAGGAGCAGAGAGCGTACTGCGCCCCAATCAGTGCTGTCAGCCACGACTGAGCTGGGCTGCAAGCTCATCAAGGGAGCGGGCAGCAGGCCCCTAGGAAGGGCCATCGTGTCTGCCGAGGCCACACACTGACAGCAGGGAGGAAAACAGACTCTTACAATCCAAGGTATCAGCCCCAATTACTCAAAATTTTAATGACACTTTAATACATGATAATGTTGTTGATAATGGGAGATCTTAAAAAGCACTAGCACTTAAATATCTTATGACCGTCTTCCTTCACAGCCTCTGACTCTAATATTTGGATCATAATCTTTTTAATATAACATTATTTAGAAAAATCAATTGTCTTAGTTACATAATGGCAAAGTCTTGAAAGATTTAATTTTAGCCTTCAGTAAAACTGCTACGAAAGGTAATTAAGTGTTTCATACCTACTGCCTGATCACTTAACTCAGCCTTCCAAGGTTATACCAATTTTTGAAATGTAGCCCCAAGATTTGTTCAAGTTCAAAATGAAAATGAAGCACTACAAGTAGCAGAATAATGTGAACTAGTATTTTAAATTAATTTTTCAGGATATACCACCTGTTCAGGAAAAAATACACACACTCATTTTCTCATTCTATCAGTTAAAGGGAAACGTTAGCCTTGAGTAAAACGCCATGGAACATTTCCTGAAGAAAATAATTTACCCTCTTCCTTTGCTTTTGGAGTTCCTCTTGGCCGTTTTTTTGTTTTCTGCTTCTGACTCGCTTCCACTCTCACTGTCACTGGAGGAGTCCTCGCTGCTGTCTTCACTGTCTCCTTCCTCCCCTTGTTTCCCACTTTCACTTCCAGAGTCACTCTCTGAGAAAACACCACCACAAAACAGGCGCTCTTTACTTTACAGCCATTTCCTTATGCATAAGGACACAAGTGTCAAAATTCATCACAAATGAAACCGGATGTTGAACTTTAGTTTACTGGCCCCACTTGTTCACACTGTTTCCACACCATCATTCAGATTCTGGAACCCTGCAGCAAAGGTGAGTGGGGAGGGACTCCGGACACAGGAGGGCTCTGATAATGATTGGGAAAGCAAGCAAAGATGAACCTAGTAAGTACACTAAATCTGAGAGAATCTCACTTCTCAAACCTATAAGTATCTAGCTATGGCAAAAAATTTTTTTAAAGAATATAGAGATAAAACAATAACTTAAAATTCTTCTACTGATGATAGTAAATTTTATTTAGAGGAGAAAAAGGTAACAAACAGTTGAATTTCCTAAGAACAAATTTTGAGAGGGAAATGAATTATTCAAATCACCTCAAAACATTTCTAAATTCAAATGCAACAAGCAAAATTACTTATTTAAAGTTATTACTTACTTTAGTTAGTATAGGAGTTTTCCACAGGTCAAAGAGATGAAGAATTTCCTTTTAACTTTTTAATATATAAATTATGGTATATAGGACTCTTTGTAGAAGTGCTGCATATAGTATATTTATGTGTATTTTATTTTATTTTAATTTAACTTTTTGGTTAATCCTCACCTGAGGATATTTTCTCCATTGATTTTAGAGAGAGTGGAAAGGAGAGAGGGGAGGGGGAGAAGGAAGGGAATGGGTGAAAAGAGAGAAACATAGATGTGAAGAAGATACTTGAAACTAATATAATACTGTATGTCAACTACAATTGAGAAATAAAAAATGATTTTTTTAAAAGGCATCTAACTCTATCTCTTCATTGATCAGATATAGAGAAAAGTAAGTACCTTGTTGAATTTGCAAAGCTAAAGCCCATGATTCTGATTTAGCATTCTTTTCATTATATATGGTTGTTCTCAAACTTTTAACTCTTCATTTCTTTATAATACACAAGGGATTTATTAATTTTAGCTTTATCTCTATATAGGTTCATGTAGAAATAAGAGTATAAAATGGATGAAGAACAGATTGCTCAATATTTAAATAAACTTTACATTTTTATAAAAGAAAGTTACTTTTAAAGGCGCCATTAAAAACTTATCAAATGCAAAATCATGATTTTCAATGCACCAAGGAATAACAGGTAGTGTGGTTTAGAGTTCAGAAAAGCATGAAGTTACTTTTTCAACTCTATCATTTATTAGCTATGTGTCTAAGAGGTAATGTCAAATAAGAAGGGACTGGAGCTCTGGCTGGTGTTGCTCAGTGGTTAGAGTGTCATTCCTATGCACCAGAGACTTGGATTCATTCCTGGTCAGGGGACATAACCAGGTTGCAGGTTCGATCCACAGTTGAGACTCATTCATGAGGCAACTGATGTTTCTCTCTCTCTTTCTCCCTTAAAAAAAAATAAATTTTTAAAAAAAGGGCCCTAATTGTTCTGGCTCAGTGGATAGAGCATCAGCTTGAGGACTGAAGGGTCCCAGGTTGGGTTCTGGTCAATGGCACGTGGCTCGGTTGCAGGCTTGATCCCAGTTGGGGCATGTACGGGAGATAACCAATCAATGTGTCTCTACATCGATGTTCCCCTCCCTTCCACTCTGTCTAAAAATCAATGGAAAAAATATCCTCATGTGAGGATTAACAATAAAAAAGGGGGGGATTGGAAATTACTTTGAAAACTAAACAGTGATATGTAAATGAAAGGAATTATTGGAATAGCATAAATCTTTTTTAAACTCAGTTGTCGAATTTTATGTACCAGGCCTTATTGTTTTGTTGGAGGCATATCATGTAAGCTACAGTGAATAATGTTTTTTTAATAAATTATAAAGCCCACCACTATCACTGCTGCTATTGGAAGAGTCCTCTTCCTCCTCAGATTCAGAATAAAATTTCTTAGCAGGTTTCTCTTTCTTTGCTTTTCCTGATGGAGTCCATTCTTTTGCCTGTTTAAAAAGACAAACAAGTAGAAATGTAAATATAAAGAAATTCTCATTGATGGATTCAGTCTTCTGGCTAACTTAACCATTCAGATCACTCAATCACTGTGAACCCAGAAGAAAATTTAAGGCCTCAACAAGAGAAGACAACTGTGACAAGTTCTGGCATTAAGGCTGACTCCCTTTTACTCCTGAATAGAAGAACACAAAGTCTCAGGGTCCATTTTATGTTAAATCAACAACCTTATTTTACACACAATTTTAAAGACTTCTACATTTGTTGGTCTACAGAAGATTTAAAATAAAATCTATTGATAGAAGAGATTAGGGCAATTAGAGGTAGATGCAATAATAGCAATAAAAAATACCAAGTTCACAGCTTCATAATGAGGTAAGAGAAAAACAATGAAAATATTTAGGGTGGCCAATAAATAGTCCTAACCTTCTCAACAGCCAGAACCTGGAGTAATCCTTGACTTCTCTCTTTCTCTCAAGAAAGCCTTTAACCACCTTGTTCCTTTACCACCTTGGCCAGAGGCATCTCTCTGTCCTGGATTACTCCAACAGCCTCCTAACTGGCCATCATACTTCCATTCCCACTCCTAACCCCCACTCCCAGTTTGCTCAACACAGCAAATAGGATAATTCTATTAAAATCTAAGTTGGACTATATTATTAACTATATTCCCTATACTGTACTTTACATCCTCGTGACTATTTTTGTAACTACCAATTTGCATTTCTTAATCCATTCACATTTTAATAATTACATATGGTACTAAGTGGGTACTAGAATTACTGGGAGATCACGTCTTAAAACTGCATCATTGTCTTATCACTACCCTGAACACATGAAACTAATATAAAAGAATACTGAATGTCAACTATAATTAAAAATAAAATAAAATAAGCATAAAACCTAGTCCAATCAAGTCCATTTGGCTTGAAACCCTGCAACAGCTCCCGTTTCACTCAGAGAAAAAGCCCAAGTCTTTAGAACAGTCTGCATGGCCCTATATGCCCATGCCAGTCCCCTTGCCTACCTGACCTCCTTCTGCTGTTCTTCCTCCTTCCCATTCTGTTCCAGCCACTCCTGACTGTTCCTTCAAACACCCAGGCAAGCTTCCACCTTAAGGACTTTCTCCCTGCTGTTCCCGCTTCCAACTCCCTCAGGTGCCACCTCAGGGAGGTCCACCCTATTTAAAGTTCCAACCCCCCATGCTTTGCTTTAATATTTTTCCCTCCATGACAGCACTTATTACTTTCTAACATACTAAATATATTATTTATATTATTTACTTTTATTGTCACATTAGTTATTGTCTAAATAGCCCCTTAAAAGATATTAGAGTAAAATAAGTTTCATTAATTGTGACCTTGATTCATCAAGAAAAAAATTAAATCATGTTTCAAATACTCTTTTAAAGGGCAGGAAAATGCATGTTTTTTAAAAGGCCAAAATGATTAAGGCTCATTTATTTATCACACTTTTAACTGAGTTTCTACTATGTGCCAGTATGTTAAAGTACATATCCCATTATAAAGTACTTTACAACACACCAGAGGTTCTTATTCAAGAACAATGGATGCACGTTAGAATCACCTGAGGAAATTTTTTTAATACTTAGAGAGACAATAAAAATACAGATACTAAAAAAGCTAATGCCTGGGATTCCTAAAAGCCATATTTAATTGGTCTGGTGCAGGTCTGACCTTTGTTTGCTTAAAGATCTCTGTTTAAAATCACTGATCTTAAAGAGCTTAAGGGTTTAAGGTATGCTGAATAAAAATATAAGTAAGCCAGAACATTCTATATAATAAAAGCCTAATATGCTAAGTGCCCGACCATTCATTTGACCAGTTGCTATGACGTGCACTAACCACCAGAGAGCAGACACTCTGACCAGTAGGTTAGCTTGCTGCTGGGGTCTGGCCGATCAGGACTGGACAAGACAGACCAGACATGCCCTGGAGCCCTCCTGAGGTCCTTCCCTGGCCAGCCAACCTCCTGGGGTCCCTCCTTGGCCCTGAAACCAGCTCTCTGTTATCTCCCGAGGGATCCCGCATTGCAAAAGGGTGCAGGCCAGGCTGAGGTACTCCACTGGTGCAAGAATCTGTGCATCAGGACTCTAGTTACTATATATAGATAATAGAAAAATGAGTAAAAGTTACTAAAACATCTCTCTCTATATATAAAAGGCTAATATGCTAAGTGTCCGTCCAGGTAATGACATCGCGTAGCAATGCCTGGCTTCCTCTCCCTAGCAAGGCCTAGCCTCTTTGTAATTTCTTCAGCCCAGAAATACGACCTGCTTTATAGTCAGGTGCAAGCATTTCACACTTTAACCAAATGTCTGTGAAGGATTTTTCCATGCCTTATCTCATTTGATTCTCACAGTAGTTCTGGAGTAGGCAGATAAGAGACTTGGTGGAATCCTATTTTCTTTTAATTAGCCAGAAACTGGAGATTTAGAAGGTTTAGAAACTTGACATGACTGAAAAGAAGTAAGAAATGATGGACCTTGAAAATGACTTCAGGTTTTCTCACTGCGCTGAATATAATCAAACACTGCTGCGGTTAAATATTTTAGCCTTTGTTCTCCCTGTATGATCTACAATAATAACCTATTTCGTGTTGATATTTACTGCTATGTTGCTGACAATTACCTAAAAGAGAAGTTGGGGTGCTTCACTGGGCTGGAAAAAGTTTAGCTACATCAGAAACCAGGTCTAATTAAGCAAGTTTATTCTATATATAAAAAAGGTTAAGTTGACTCGCTCATGCACGCTACATATAAAGCTTTTACCAATTGCACCCGTGTGTTTTCATCTGTCATTGTCGATCATGAATTTGGTTAACACTTCTATTATAGAGCAAGGGCGAATAGTGATATTAAAATATTTCTTCTAATTAATTTCCTTTCAATGTGAATGAATTCGTGCACCGGGCCACTAGTACTTGAGTTAGATACTTATATAATATCAGCAATGTTGCTTTCTTTTTATATAATTAAAATGCTCTGTACTCCAAATATGAATATAGTATTCTATGAACAAAGTTTTCCTATATTTAGTAAACACAAAAGCCCACATTTTTCTTAAATCCAATCATTTAATGAAGTTTGGTAAAAAGTGTACCAGATCAATATATAGGGGTTGGGGAGGTGAGTGGAAGTTACTTCATTAGACTAAGGTAAGACTAAATTGACAAATAAGGGAAATTGGGCTTCTATGCTCAAATTACCTTGGTACAGCTATCAACTCAATATTCATGGTGTTTTAAATAATAAAAATATTTTAATTTTTGTGATGATCTTTTATGACTATGAAAATCATATCATTCTAAGCAAAAGAAACAATAGGGAAAAGAGAAGAGGAAAGAATAGCAAGATATTAATTTTAAAGTTCCTATGAGGGATAAAATATTGATAATAGATGGGTTTATAAAGCAAAATACCTTTGATATGCAAAGGACAGTCTTTCTGTAATTGAAGAGAAACAGGTATTCTAGAACTAAGCAAAAAAAAAATTCTAATGGACTTCAAAACTTACTGTTATCATAATATAAACAGACATTATATCTGATATCCTAGAAATGGTAGTATGTAATTCAAAGTGACTTCTAATGTAAATCTGACTAGGTTCCCTGTTGTTTTGATTAAGATATCAGAGTATCTAAACCTAGGCCATTTTTCTTACTAAGTTATCACAGTGATCCGGTAAGATCACTTTACAGTGAAAGTAGGATAACATTGTATTATGTGTATGAAATATATTGATGCGACTTAGGAGGGGTGTGAGGTAGAGTGAGAAGCAAGAAAGACTTTCTGCATTCTTACAACTGCATTTGATATTTTTATATTTGTGTCTTTTATAGTATAATTTTAAGCCAATATATCCAGAGACCCATAGATTGAAACTGTTTTCTGCATGGCATCAATGGATAGTAACAGTTTTTTTTCAACCAGATTACAGCAGTTATAATTATTCTCCATTAATAAGTTACCAATTGTTAATTTACAGAATGTAGTCAGCAAATTAAAAAAAAAATTTTTGTTGTTGCTGAACTGGGCAGGTGAAATGAACACAAGAAAATAGGTTATTGAAGTACTGTCCTATAAGAAGAGCACATGAAAATGGAATAAGACAGCCAACCAACCAATCTATCAGCCAAAATAAGGGTACTGCTGAGACCAAATTAAACTGCATAAAATTGTTATCAATATCTGAGAAGACTTATTTATTTGTTTGTTTGTTTGTTTGTTTATTTATGGAATGAGGCAGCAAGGAGGGGAGGTGGGTAGAAGTGAGGAAAGGATAAAAGGATGGCTTTACTTGCATGTACCCAATAATAAAAATGGATAGAACCATAAAAACAATAAGCAGGCATAATATGAAATTAGGAAAGAGAGTAAGTATAACTATGGAAAGAATCATAACAAAGAATATTCTCTTTGTATTCTAGCATCTGACCAAAAATTGCACAAAGAAGCCAATCTTTTTGAAGAGTACTTAAAAGTATGTAGGTTTGAGTGAAAATCAGCAAACTTAATTGCAAGGAGGAATAGACATGCAATTAGTTTTAATAACTTTTACATTTTAAAAAATCATCTCTAAATAGAGTTAATTTGTCACAACATGAAAATGGTGATGCTCTAAGTACTAAGAATAGTACAGATTTGCAAACAAGCTCAAGCCTCCGCTCTTCATGTTACATAACACTAAAATGCAGTGAAGAGTATGAACAAAGACTGACAGATCTGGGTTAGAATCTCAATTCCATCACTTCCTAGCTATGTGAACTTGGGGCAATTTATTTAGGCTCTCTGAACCTCAGTTTCCTCATCTGCAAAATGGGTACAACAACCATCACTTATAATCATTATGAGGTTTAAGCAAGATAATGTTTGCAAACATTAGCAAAGTACACTGCCAGGGCTTGCCAAATCGAGCCATTATCAGTTTTTATTGCTTCTGGCCATCCTCCAAGCCAGAGTAAGGTCTGAAGAGTTAAGGGAAATGTATTTCTTAAAAGGATCAAATTACATGGCTATGCACATTATATAAATTCTACTTAAAGTAATAAAGATTTTCTTCCACTGTATATAAGTTAATAGGCAAGAAGGTTAACTGAATTTCTCACAGGAATTAGTGGTAAAGAACTCTGGTTATCTGAATCCTTGTTCAATATAACTTTTCTACCAAAAACGCATCCAGAATTAAATATCTAATTGTTCATTTTTATTAATTCTACTTTAAAAAGTAGATTATGTGAAATATATATAGAATATATTGGGTCTAGTAATAATTAATGTCGTTTTTAAACATTCGTTTAAAATCTTGCTTGGCATTGACTTGTATTGACATAACCTTCAAACACGTGGTATCTACAGAACGTGTGAAGTGCAATTAACAAGTTTTGCTTGAAAAAGTTTGTGTTTGGTTTGGTTTTTGTTGCAAAACTAGGGCTAAGAAGATGGCGGATGAAGAGCATATTCGGCACTGCATGCTTTACGAGTTCCAATTAGGAAGAAAAGCAAGTGAGGCTGCAAAAAACATCTGAAGTGCTCTTGGTCAAGATGCAGTTAGCGCCAGAAAATGCCAGCATTGGTTTGAGAAATTTCGCGAGGGAAATTTTTCATTAGATGACAAGAGTGGTCGAGGCCGTGTGTCCAATTTTGATCAAGAAGCTCTTCAAGCTCTTTTGGTGCAAAATCCTCAAATTACCCAACAAGAGCTTGCGACAACTTTAAATTGTTCACAAAAAACAATTTCCAATCAATTGCGTGCACTTGACAAAGTCCAAAAGTTTGGAAAATGGGTTCCTCATGAGTTGACCGACAACCGTAATCAAAGAGTCACAATTTGCAGTTCGCTCCTCTCTCGTCAAAACCGTTTGCCGTTTATAGAGCAAATTGTTACCGGAGATGAAAAATGGGTGCTGTATGTTAATTTGAAAAGGCGGCCTCAATGGTTGGACAAAAATGAGGCTCCGCAGCCCACGCCAAAACCTGACTTGCATGCAAAAAAAGCGATGTTGTGTGTTTAGTGGAATTTTAAAGGAATTCTTCATTATGAACTTTTACCATCTAATCAAACCATTACAAGTGCAGTGTATAGTGCCCAATTGGAAAGGTTAGCCCAAGCTTTAAGAGAAAAAGAACCCGCGCTGATTAATTGGAAGGGCGTAATTCTTCACCACGATAACGCACGACCCCATACTGCAAGAATCACTGCTGAAAAACTACGCCAGTTGGAATGGGAAGTTCTCCCTCAACCTGCATATCCTCCTGATATTGCCCCTTCCGATTACCATTTGTTTCGTTCTTTGCAAAACTTTCTTCTTGGAAAAAAATGTAATAATGAAGAATGCCTCAAAAATGCATTGACCGAATTTTTTGCATCAAAATCACAAGAATTTTAAAACAGAGGGATTAAAATGCTTCCTGAGCATTGGGCACAAGTAGTAGAAAACAACGGCAACTATATTGTTGATTAAATTTTGTTGCATGGTTTAAATAAATTTGATTTAAAAAAGTATTAGAAAACGACATTAATTATTACTAGACCTAATATATATTTCACATAATCAAGTCTCTAAAGACAATAGACCTTCTATTTTTCTTTTTTATATGAGATATAAGAGATAGTTTTTAAAAATAAAATTAATTCTTTTACTTTAGTAGCCAGCATTTTTTTAAACATCTAGGAAAAGATGATTTGTATAGAAGTTGATTTTTAATGTGAAGGCAACATATTACTCATTTTAATTGTGACCTTGTCTAAGGACATTTTTGGTACACAATGCTCCCTATTTATGTCTAGGCTTCACTTGAAACAGGTTCATCAGAAAATCCAGAACACTTTGTATGGTTTCTTTGGAATAGAACAGCAAAAATTATTGAGAAAAACATTGACAGGAAGCTTACGAATCTCTAAACAAAGTAGAAAAAGCTCAAACCAATGAAACCAAATACCTTAGAAATTGAATCTACACAGCTACAAATGCAATACCACTAATGTGAGTAGCATTGATGCAGAGAATTCAATTCTCTATTTCCTTGAAGAAAAGGAACAGTACATGTAAAATAATGTAGGAACACTACAATTTTTAGTTTTCATAACAGCAAGATACTAGTATACCCCACACACTTTATTTAGAAATACCAGAACAATTTTCAATTTTCAATCCCCACCCCAAAAGCTTTTATTTGAAAAAAATCATTACGTATTCTAGAATATCCTACTGCTTGACAAAATTAATTTCAGAAAGGTCAACTTACCAACTCTATTACTTCTACATTTCGAACTGATGGGTCAGGCGCCACCTCTGGCCAATTAGATAATTCCATGTACCCAGTAGCTTTAGTGTTGAGTGTATGAGATAAAGTTCCAAGCTGGAAATGATCCCTATCTTTCAAAATAGAGGAAAATATAAAATAAACAATATGAGCTGTATATAACATAGAACAGTCCTAATCAGAGCTCAAGGTAATTGGCATATTACCTCAAATGTCAAGGAATAAATATAAACTAGGAAGCTCTTCATAGGTCAAAAAACTGATTTCAGTCCATAGATTACAATAATCTTCCCCATAATGGTCAATAAAAAAGCTAATCAGTCAGTGTGTTTGGAGGTGTTGCTCTGAAATGTAGCTTCTCTAAAAATTACTTTACTGTGAATATTAAGAATGACAGCACAGTTAAACAATCCATATACATGTCTTGGCACAAACACATTCAGAATTTTAATAGTTTTTCTATGAAACTGAACTGCTTGTTATCACTTTTCAACAATTAAATAAGAAAAAATATAAAAACCAAGGTATAAAGTCATCTGATTCCAACTGTAATGGCTACTTGTGAAACTGATCAATTATTCCTTTTAAAAAGGTGGGAAAACACTTATATATTAATGTTTTTATGAAATAATTGTTCCTAGAAAAGTTTATATTAGCATAAATAAAATATTTAATTAATAACAACTCAGTATTAGGTGAATTATATTCCTTATTAAATAAAGGTATCTATTTAAAATAAAAGTGAAGTCAATGTCTATAAGAACAAAACAGCTTTTATATATTGGTTTTATGCTTAGTAAGAAAATAAAATCAGAAGATTAAAATTATTTAGGTAAATAAGGTCCATAAAAATATAAATTTTAACTAATATAAAGCTTGCTCTGGAGAATAGATGAATGAATAAAAGCACACTGTTTTTATATATTTATATATGCTAGTCATTTATATTTCCTAAGAGATAAATTATAAGCACATTATAAATGGAATATAGTGTCATATTTTTTTCAGATAACTTATTGTGCAGTTATATTCTAATAACAACAATAATAATACCTTTAAAAGGAGACTCAAGCAGTGGTGCAGGTTTTTGTGCTAGGAATATTTTTTTGGCATATTTACTTAAAGCTCCACTCTTCTCATTCGGAACAATAAGCTGCCTAATAAATCTTGTACGGTCTCTGATGTCGTAGTTTTGATCATACTTGCCGAGATTTAATATGTACTGGGTAAGCAATTTTGTCTGTTGGAAAAAAAAAAAAACAGAACAAGATGAGAATACAGTTATTTATGATTATTGATAACTCTGGATAAACATATTTAAAGAGGTAATAAAAATGAATGGTTATGTCAAACAAATGTTGTTCCATAGGGAATATGCATTTCTAATGCTGCAAATGGAATTTTGAAGCCAAAGCACATGTCCTCTTCAGAATTGGGGAGGTGAACGCTGAGTACTGAGAAGCAACCATGTGCTAGATTATTAAACTGCTGAAGTGGAAAGAAAGGCATCATTAAAAAAATAATCATATATGGCAAACCCGCTGAAGGGTCTACGTGAGAATAATGAATGTGGAAATACAACTAAAAACATGGCACTCAAAACTTAATCGGAAAAATATGCAGGACATCAAAACATCAGAGAGTATTAGGGGGTTGGCAAACTGCTTCTCCTGAGGTGTGTTTTATGAAGAGATACTGTCCCTGGCATACGCAGTGTCTGCACTCTGACTGCACTCAGTTACTTTACCCTGAATTATGACCCATTAAAGCAGACACATGAATCACTGAACTGGATTACTGCAAATTATTTGCAGTGCATTTAGCTGTTACTTTTTCATAAAAGCAAGCTGCTGATGCCCTCTAAAAACTAGGATAAAAGACTCCTTCCATTTTTTCTCCCATGCTGCTTATAGCCGCTAGTAATATTGGTCATTTATTTATTTATGTAAGAGAACAACTTATTATAGTAGCTTTTACACTGCAATAAGATTTCCTAAGTCAATTTTTTAATGTACTTACATTAACATAGATTTTAATATTAAACCAAAATTGAAATACAAAATAGCTTTGTATTTAAACTCATTATTTTGTTGGAAAAAAAAACATAGTTTTCATTTAGAAGGTTACACACATACAATTGCAGCTATAAATTAAATATAGAAAATTTAATTACATAGAAATTACATAGAAAAAAATAAACAACTATATTAAAATATTTTACAGATATCAGAAACATAAAATAATAAAATCAATCATGTCAGACAAAGACAATTCTAGAACAGTAAATCAAAGTATAGGAATGGTGTAACAAACTCATCTTACTAATTTAAAAAAAAAAGTAAATTGATCGTCACTTTGCAACGCCAGCCAGTCAGAATGAGGATGCAAATTAACCCAACAAAGATATGGCAGCCCCGGCCACTGCAGGCCTCTGGGCAGCGCACCTCTGGCCTCAGAGGCAACCCTCTGGTGCCTGAAGTCATTGCTCCCAGTGTCTGGCTTCTTACCCCACCCCTATCCCGCTGCTTTGGTAAACAAAACCCTAGCATTGCAGCAGCCCCACGGATGCAGACACACGCAAGCTTGCTTGGTGCACAGTTAGCGTGTCCTGGGAGCCCTGGGCCAGCCAAGGGGTGATGGTGGTGGCCGGGGCGGCAGCAGCAGGTGGCTCAGCTTTGTTTTGAATAGATGAAAGAGGCCACCTACACAGTAACCCAAATTATCAGATCTTCCTCCTCCCTATCTTGCCAAATCAAGAGCGGAGGGCGGAGGAGGAAGAGGAGGAGGAAGAGGATGAGGAATGGAGTCAGTTGTATCCCACTTTCACAATGGTAAAGTGAAACACACTAGCCACCCAACCTCTCCAGTCCTCCCCACCTGCCTGGCTCCCCCCACCTCTTCCCCTCTGCGCCTCCTGGGAGTGCCAGTGCTGCAAAGAGGAACTCTCTGGAGGAGGAGGACAAGGAGGAAGTGGCACTGGAGTGCACAGGGCTTGCCACCGCTGCAGCCACTGCACAGGCTGCCTGAGCGAGCCCACCATGTGCTGGCAGCCAGGGGAAGGAAGGCCTATTCTTGCACAAATCTTTGTGCATCAGGCTTCTAGTTTATAATAATATTGGGTTGAGACACCTGATTTGGATAGAAAGCAACCTTCTTTCAGTAACAATGTATTTAAAAGCATTAACTTAGTTTAATAAAGTAGAACTATAAAAAAAAATACAAGAGAAAACGTTGATAGAGCTATTCTAAATTTGGTTACCAACAATTGTTACTAATTATTAGATGACTGAGTCAACTTCAGATGAGAATAATTCTATGATTCATTTTTTAAAAATTAGCAAAATATTCACCAAATAAGAAATACAGTTAAAAAAGAAGTACAATATATTAGACAGTATAATTGACTTGCTGAGACAACTGGGGAAAACTAACCATGAGCTTCCTCAAATACAGAGTAAGATTTTAGGTTTATTCTAAAGTCACTTGAATGCTGAGATTCAGAATGTGCAAACTCAATAAATCAGAGAAAGAAAATAAATCTGTTCACTTCAGTTATATATATATATATATATATATATATATGTGTGTGTGTGTGTGTGTGTGTGTGTGTATGTATATATATATATATATATATATATGTATTATATAATATATATATATATTTGCTAGCAGGGTGATACATTTTGCTTATATTTCTGATCCCTGAAATTAATTTTTAAGAAATGAAATTATTTCAATGCATTATCTGACAATTATTGAGTTATATCGAGAATTTTAAGTAATTAAAATTATGTAATTTTTTTTTAAATATGTATTTGTTGATTGTAAAACTCATTTTATTATATTGGTGGGATTGTAAAACAGTTTTATTAAAATGTACTTTCAAACATAAAATCCTTTCTATAAGAAAAAAATATATCCATTTAAAATGATGCATTGAAAACATATACAAAATACCCACTGCACAAGCATATACTTTAATCACTTTCTTAACTATATTTGCCTCTAATACTAAGTTATTGGTATTTCTCTGAAGAACGTGTTTTTGTATGATCTTATTATTTTGAAGTTTTTTTAAAAATAAAAATAAGGCCGAAACCAGTTTGGCTCAGTGGATAGAGCATCAGCCTGCGGAATGAAAGGTTTGATTCCGGTCAAGGGCATGTACCTTGGTTGCAGGCACATTCTCAGTAGGGGGTGTGCAAGAGGCAGCTGATCGATGATTCTCTTTCATCGATGTCTTTAACTATCTGTCCCTCTCTCTAACTCTGTAAAAAATCAATAAAATATATTTTAAAAAATTAAAATGAAAATTAAATAAATAAAAATAAGGTTACCTACAATCTTCAAAACTAATTTTATGATCAATAATTGTGATGCTGTTGACATTTTCAAGTTAGTCTTTTCTATAACTATAAAAGAGAAAACATCCTTTTGATTGCATAAGACTAGAGGCCCAGTGCATGAAATTCATGCAGTCAGGGGGAGGGGGGTCATTCAGCCCAGCCTGCGTACTCTTGGAGTCCGGGAGCCCCATGATTGACCGCCCCACAGAGGGAGGCCCTGCCTACAACTGCTGGCCCGGTAGCCTGGGCCTCCCTCTGAGGGGCAATCTTGGGTGATGGTGCCCCCCCACACACACACACGACCAATCGCATCGCACCCACAGGGACCTGTCACAGGCAGCCAGGACCCAGGACTGACTTCTGCCTTGCCCGTGACGGCACCAGTCAGTGTTGGGTTGTCACGGCACCCGAGACCCAGGAGGGACCAAGAGGTCAGCAGTTCAGCCTGCTCACCAGTCACCACCCACCCGATCCTGCTGCAGCACAGCCTAGTGTTGGATTGTTCCCTCAGTTATTTCGGATATTGCAGACCCTGGCTCTTTAGATATTAGGATAGTCTAATAAGTGCAGATAAATTCTGTTGAATGAAGGATATTCTCAATGCTTTCATGTAAAAATATATAAATATTTCAAACCCAGATATTTAACTTTTCCCCCTCCAGTCAACAAAACTTTTCTTGATAATTTTTTATAAGACAAAAAAAATCACCAAATTCAGATTCTATAAAATCAACTGCCTTTTAAATGTCATTTCACTTCCATACAAATATAAACTTATCCAATTAAAACAGAAGCTCCATCAAAAGTCTTCAAAATCATTGAGATACTGTAAATGACAGAACTTCTCAAATAAATCTCAAGCTCTTAGTTCTTAATTTTTCAGTTCTTCCCTTGTTTTTATAGAGATAAATTTCAATGTTTTCCTGTTTGCAAGATTTTTTCCCAAGAATTGCTATTTGCTAAAATTTGCAAAAGCTGAAGATTTTGACACTGTATTTGGTGAATACTTTAAAGATTTCCAAATGATTCTGAATAAAAATCTAACCAATATAAAAGTTTCTTTACTTCCTTCCACTCCAGCCCCACAATAAAGCCAATATACTAGGACACAGGTCAATTTACAAAGCAGTTTTTCACAAAATCACACTTCTAAAATCCCACTGGTATCACGCAGCAAAGAGAGTTTCATACCAGAATGTGTGTTGTCATCTGAAATATGTTCAACATTATACAACAACCTGATGGATGAAATCTGTGAAAGGGGCTCAGCCTTCATGGCCCCAACCACCTTGCAGCCCCCTTGGCCCCACCCACTGATCGGTCAGTCAGGTCTAATTAGCATATTAGCTCTTTATTATATAGGATTAGCTTCATTATAACAATTCTGTAGTTCTGTGAAACTATACATATCAAATATAAATAAATTTTACAATTACGGTTTTACTTAAATTGGCAGAACAAGCAGATTTTGTTTGCATGCACCACAACCAATTCCTCAAATATTTCTGCTCCATAGTTTTCATAACAGAAATAATGATTTTACCATGACAACATCCTTTTGTCAAAAACAAGTAATTTTATTTCCATGTTGGGCTTTTAAATTTACAGAAGCATTTATAGCATTTCTGACAGAATAAACTTCCAAAAGCTTTACTCTGATTCCTTTTATTGCACTGGCAGAACAAATATAAAAGCTTTGAAAAAGTAGTACTATTATTGGAATTAATTGATTTTCTATTTTAAAAGCAACATTGTTTAGGGTTCTTTTTCTGCTAATGGAATAAAAACATAACAGTTATTGCTTCATTTTTTTCATATGTGCAAAAGGAAAATTAAAATAAAAATTGAACAAAATTATTTTTTAAAAAGTTATTTGATCTAAATGAGATCATGATTCATAAAGACATATGTAAACATCTTCTGCACCTATATATATTTGTGATTTTGAGACGCAATCTTTTTCAAATAACTCCTAACTTTTCAAATAGATGCTGATACTTTTTTAGCAGATTTGTCATGTCTTTTGATTAGTGTATGGTCAGTGATATCACTATAATTATCATGGAAAATGGTAAATGTTAATAAACATTTTGTGCATGTTAAATATTGAGAGAGAAATTCAGTACTTCATTCTTCAATACATATACATTAATTTTTAAAAACTTATTGTTGCTGGGTTTATAACAACAACAAAAAAAGAACTGCCAAAATATAAACTAAATAGGTTTTAGATTTATGCTATACAACAAATGACAAAACTACTATAGCAAGAGGGCTCTGTCCACTCTCCTGTACATATTTCATCAAACCCAACCTCTTACTTCCTTTGTTTTTCTCTAACTCCATCGGCTGACAGCTGGGAATTACATGCTTCACACAGGCCATGGCACAACTTGCTAGTATATCAAGTTGCCAGCAGGTGAGTTACACACTTACCTCACCAGCACTAGAAAAGCAAAGGGTTTAGCTTTTCCTCCCTGCCTTGTCAGGGCACACTTCATTTTATTAGCACACATCCTGCATGCTGCTCTAAAAGAAGTTAGTTATCTTGTTTTATCTTGTTTCTCAAAAAGGTTGAAAAAAGAAAGATGAAGTTTTTCCAATGTAGATGTTCTACATACTAAAATGAAATCTCTTCACTACACTTGTATCTTATATGCTACTAGAAAAAAAAAGAAAAAGAAAAAAAAAACCATGGTAGACGGTATAAGTACAATATGGAGGTCTACAACTTACTGTCATATATATATATATATATATATATATATATATATATCTCGGGTCTAGTAATAATTAATGTCGTTTTTAAACATTCGTTTAAAATCTTGCTTGGCATTGACTTGTATTGACATAACCTTCAAACACGTGGTATCTACAGAACGTGTGAAGTGCAATTAACAAGTTTTGCTTGAAAAAGTTTGTGTTTGGTTTGGTTTTTGTTGCAAAACTAGGGCTAAGAAGATGGCGGATGAAGAGCATATTCGGCACTGCATGCTTTACGAGTTCCAATTAGGAAGAAAAGCAAGTGAGGCTGCAAAAAACATCTGTAGTGCTCTTGGTCAAGATGCAGTTAGCGCCAGAAAATGCCAGCGTTGGTTTGAGAAATTTCGCGAGGGAAATTTTTCGTTAGATGACAAGAGTGGTCGAGGCCGTGTGTCCAATTTTGATCAAGAAGCTCTTCAAGCTCTTTTGGTGCAAAATCCTCAAATTACCCAACAAGAGCTTGCGACAACTTTAAATTGTTCACAAAAAACAATTTCCAATCAATTGCGTGCACTTGGCAAAGTCCAAAAATTTGGAAAATGGGTTCCTCATGAGTTGACGGACAACCGTAATCAAAGAGTCACAATTTGCAGTTCGCTCCTCTCTCGTCAAAACCGTTTGCCATTTATAGAGCAAATTGTTACCGCAGATGAAAAATGGGTGCTGTATGTTAATTTGAAAAGGCGGCCTCAATGGTTGGACAAAAATGAGGCTCCGCAGCCCACGCCAAAACCTGACTTGCATGCAAAAAGAGTGATGCTGTGTGTTTGGTGGAATTTTAAAGGAATTCTTCATTATGAACTTTTACCATCTAATCAAACCATTACAAGTGCAGTGTATAGTGCCCAATTGGAAAGGTTAGCCCAAGCTTTAAGAGAAAAAGAGCCCGCGCTGATTAATCGGAAGGGCGTAATTCTTCACCACGATAACGCACGACCCCATACTGCAAGAATCACTGCTGAAAAACTACGCCAGTTGGAATGGGAAGTTCTCCCTCAACCTGCATATCCTCCTGATATTGCCCCTTCCGATTACCATTTGTTTCGTTCTTTGCAAAACTTTCTTCTTGGAAAAAAATGTAATAATGAAGAATGCCTCAAAAATGCATTGACCGAATTTTTTGCATCAAAATCACAAGAATTTTATTTTATTTTATTTTATTTTTTTTTTAAATATATTTTATTGATTTTGTACAGAGAGGAAGGGAGAGAGATAGAAAGTTAGAAACATCGATGAGAGAGAGTCATCGATCAGCTGCCTCTTGCACACCCCCTACCGGGGATATGCCCGCAACCAAGGTACATGCCCTTGACCGGAATCGAACCCGGGACCTTTCAGTCCCCAAGCCGACGCTCTATCCATTGAGCCAAACCGGTCCCGGCAAAATCACAAGAATTTTAAAACAGAGGGATTAAAATGCTTCCTGAGCATTGGGCACAAGTAGTAGAAAACAACGGCAACTATATTGTTGATTAAATTTTGTTGTATTGTTTAAATAAATTCGATTTAAAAAGTATTAGAAAACGACATTAATTATTACTAGACCTAATATATCTACTTAAATATATATATATATATATATTTCAGAAAGGAAGGACAATTCTCAGAGACAGAGAGATGGAAATATCAATGATGAAATCATTGATCAGCTGCCTCCTGCACACCCCCCATTAGGTACTGAGCCCAAAACCCGGGCATGTGCCTTGACTTTCTGGTTGATAGGTTAATGTTCAACCACTGTCCCACACTGGCCAAGCTAATTTACATAACTTTAGAGTAGCCAAGCCAGTCATAAAGTCATTACAATCATAATATTCTAGGTATTATTTTAGTGAACACAAGGAGTAAAGGCTTAACAATGTTTTTACTTATACATGGGAAAGTAAGCAGTGATTCCTCATATTTACCAATATATAAGAAACTCAACAGTATACATAGGTTTCCTTTTACTGTTTTTGAAAAGTAACTCAGTACATAAAGAAATCTAAATAACATTTGGAAATGATTAACTGATTCATATCAAAGATTAACTTAAAATGCAAAGATAAAATCTAAATCATGGAAATATACTCAGATTATCTGTAATTATTTGGTCATAAATCTTGTACACCAATCAGCAAAAGCAACAATAACTAAAGTCATATCATAAGTGGAGATAAATTTGAGGAGTCAACCTGAAAATTCTGAATGGCCAACATCAGCTTATAGAGAGTGAGTATGGGTAGACCAAGAAGGCAGAAAGAGAGGGAAACAACTGAGAGACATACAGCAAAGACAAAAAGAGAGAAAGATGAACACTGATGGAGAGGCAGGAGAGAATGACAGACACAAACAAGCAGAAGGTGACTAATCGATATGTTTCTTTCACATCAATATTTCTCTCTGTCTTTCCCTGTCTCTTCCACTCTCTCTAAAAATCGATGGAAAAAATTGCCTCTGGTGAGGATTAAAAAAATAATAACAATTAATCAATTAATTTTAATTAATTGAATTAATTTAATTCAATTAATTAATTAAAATATTTACTGGTTTCCCCTGTACTAGTAGGACACGGTCCACAGTATTTGCCACTCAAGTCCTGACCTGGCCTACCTGTCCAAACCATTTTAAGTGTGCTGAAAGCACCAAGCTGTTTCATGACTCTGATCTGCTGCTCTCCTCTTTCCTCCTCCTGTACAGGAAACCACTCCTTAGAAGTCCATAGTCAGGAGTCTTATCCTTGATGAAACTTTCTCTGACCTCTCTCCTCCTACTGCAGACTTTCAAAAACTTTCTCCTCTGGAGTTTCACTGTATCTCAGTACTTCTATTATAGCATCTACCAAATACTATTTCATTATTTTATGTTTTTCTCCCCTACTAGATTAGAATATCATCTCTTTGCACAACTACCATACCATCTATTGAAGAACCTTAAAGAAATAGGCACCTAGTAATTGTTAGATAGACTAATGTGTAAACAGACTTTAGCCACTTCATCAGAGTAAAGAAGAAAGTAGGTAGAAGTAAGGTCTAGCCTCTTACCTGTTTGGAGTTGGTTAAATACAATTTTGCTCCCAAATTTAAAATCTGCAGTTTTACAAGGTCATCTTCATTTGTGAAGCTTTTAGCCATCTTCCTCAAAACATCAGGGGCAATTTTAGGAACTCGTTCACAGTTTTCTCCAATTAGCCAAAGAATACTTGCTCTAGCCACAGGGACCTAATGTTAGAAATAGACAATATGGTTACAAATAAGATAAGCATGCTCTCCTTAACATTAACATAGAAAAGTCTTTAAGTATTACCAAGGTGTTACATCTATCAATTCATTTAATGTATATCCAGGACGTGCTCCTATATTTATGGATTTTCTTTAGTTATCAAAAAATAAACACACAGGAAATCACAAAACTGATTTCAGGATAATGTCTTAGAAAAGATTCATAGAGAAAAAGTCACTGGTCTAGAATCTTGATTCTAGCAGAGATCTGCAAATTCTTGGACTGAATCTGGCTGGCCATGCCCATTTGTTTATGTGCTGTTATTGCTGATTTTGTGCTGTATGAGCAGAGGTGAGTGTCTGCCACAAAGTCCATAAGAACAGCAGTTTAGAGAAAAAGTTTGCGGAGCTCTGCTCTGGGGCATTTATTTACAAACCTTGATGCCCAGAAAAATCATCTAGGGTTCCTAATAAAACTGCAGGGTTCTGGTATCGCTCCAAGATAGTTCTATGGTGGGGCCCAGGAATCCACATTTTTATGAAGCATCACGGATGATTACTGAGACAGATGGTCTGTCTGCAAACCATGCTTTGAGAGTCATGAATAACATAGAAAAAAGAATAGATCCACTACAGGCTTTGATTCCAACTGTTATGTCCTCTATTTACAGCACTGGGAATATATAAAACTGGTAAGATCATCAAGATTTGGATTACAAAGTCATTAATCCTAGTCTATTATTTGATCACCAACAAAAGAAATAGGAATAACAAATTTGTCCAATATTGTATTTTGGCATTAAATATTTTTAATAATGAAATTTTTTAAAATAATGTACATTTTTACATAATTTGTTTCTTAAAAATTACTGCTTTGTAACAAATTGGAAACCTTCCATCAACACCATTAAGACCATTATTTTAGAGTATGTACATTAGTTTTATTTCTATCTGTTTACTTGTATTATCCCCTATTCCAAAAGGAATTTGAATGGGTGTGTAAATTAGTTTCTGTGAACATTTTCACCTAGTATGGAAAATTTGCTTTTTATAAGAAATGAAAAAGCCAATAACTATCATTAAGAGAGAGCATCACAAGAATAGATAACATTCTTTTTAAAAAGACCTTTTCCAATTCCTCAAATAAAGCCCTAATATTTCCATTACAGTTTCACAGCTGCACATATAACTGTTAAAGAAGAAAGTGAGAACAAGGACCGCTGCACAGCTAAAATTTTATCACAATATCCACCATCTCAAATTATTTCAAAACACCCATTTTATGAAATAACATAAAATTATTAATACTCCTAAGTTGCGTCTTTCACCAGAATGAGAATGAGGAAATCAAAAAGGCTTTAAAATAAAAATATATACTTGCAAATAGTATGATAACAGGATCATTTTAAATTAACATTAAAGTAAATTTAGTAAACAAGAAATCAGCATATTTATGCAATTAAGTGTAAATATTAAGATAAATGTTAAGTACAATATTAAATGCTATTGTAAATCCATTTATGCAGTATGATAAAACTGATATCCTTACTGTGTGTATACTAATTTCTCCTGTTCCAAAGGTTACACTGCATTACAACCTTACTCCCAATCTTTTATTTTAAATTGGGCTACAGAATAATATAATTGAGTGGTACATTAAATTTCCTGGTATGAAGCAATTCAAGGTGCCTGCCATTGTGAAAGGTATCTCTAAATAAGAATATATGGGTAACTTCAGATTTCAGTTATGCTAGGTTTGTTTTTCTTAAATATTTTATTACATATTGCTAGTGTAAAAATTAGAATTTTATGACATATAAAAATCTAATACCCCACTTTAAGTAAATTTCTTCTGTAATACACTTATAATTCTTTTGTGCAATTAAAAAGGCAGTCCCAAAGTTGTGTTTTGTCTTTTTCCCCAAAAAGTTTTAAGAAATTGTTTATATTCCTATTCATTAATAAACTAAGATTATTATTATTTTTTAATACTCACTTAAGGATGTGTTTTTATTGATTTTTTTTTTTTTTTTTGAGAGAGAAAGGAAAAGAGAGATGGAAACATTGATATGAGAGAGAACATCTATCGGTTGCCACCCGTATGTGCCCCAACTGGGGATTGAACCTGCAACCTAGGTTTGACAGGGAATCAAACCCACAGCTTTTTGTTGTACAGGATGACACTCTAACTAACTGAGCCACCAGCCAGTGCATCTATTCCTATTCATTAATATGCTAACATTAAAATAACAATGCAGCAGGAGGCAGGTGATTGTTTTCTCTCATCAATGTCTCTCTTCCTCTTCCTCTCTCTCTAAAATCAATAAAAACATATTTTTAAAAATAACCCAAAAAAACCCTTATAATTACATACATTTAAAACACAACTCATTGAAAACATTAAAAATTAATAAATTCTCATGTTCACAATGAAAACCTGAAGGTAGTGGTGGTGCTTTGGGGGAGGGAGGGTGGGAGCTAATAAAATTAAGTAAACACTTTGATAACTTAGAAAACTTCTCCATGACAAGAAATAATATCAATATCAATATGCCAAACTTTTAGTGATGGCATTTTGTTAAAAAGCTTAGGAAATTGACAAACCCAATGTTTCTGTGCATGTGGAGGGAATCAGAATCCTAAGATTTCATATTTCAGCCTTCTTTCTCTCCCAACTAAGTATAGTACTCTCATATATACCAATGACACTGATACTATGACTCCATGGCCACTATATTCAAAGATTTGAAGCAAGGGACAAAAGAGCAAGTAAGAAAATTAACCACTTTTGTTCACTGTGACCTTTTCAACTACAGAATATATAGAAACGCTGAATTAAAACCAAACTAATAACACACATATATGTAGTTGATGAAATACTTTCATTATGAATCTCTGCTTTTCAATATTTTCAAGGACAAACTAGATTGTAAATGACTTTGCCTGATGCTTTATTCTAAATGCCTTGAACATGTGGTTAAGTGCACTTTTTAAACTTCTACCAGAATGCAGTTTTCCACTGCCATTTTAACCCATTAACTTGGCTGGAAAACAAATAATGATTCCTAGCTCACCACAGCCATTAAGAAAGACATGTAGGAAGATTTTACAGATCACTCTGTAAGCAGTTAGTTTAAAAGCTACTGTGTTTCTACACCAGCCATTGCACAGTACAACAGTTTAAATACTGCAAAAATAATAATTTTATTTATTTAAATTTATCAAAGGCAAAATCAGTACACATCTAAATAAACTGCATACAAACAGCAAATTAGATCCAAAATTCTATACCTGGACTCAATATGTATTAAAATTTAAGTCTAAAGGAAGCTGGGTTAACATGCAAAATGGCAGGCATTCAGGGAGGCAACTGGACAAGAAGCACAGAAAAATGTCTTTCAACTGTTTTTTTATGACATGAAATCCTTGTCTGTCCCATTAAACAATATGTAAAATCCTGTTAGAACAATCCTCTGGTAGTATGCATTTTATTCTGGAAGAACTTTGCTCCCAAAGCAATATTTACTACAAGTAAAAGATTCTCCAAAGAATAAAATATTCACAATAAGAATAAATAAGGTGACTGAACTATCAACATACATCTATTCAATTAAAATAAAATTTAAAAGTAGAATTTAAATTTTAGTGTTTACATTTTCAGCTATGTTACTAGATAACAAATGGGATGAAAAGTTTTGAATACAGTAAAATCTGTGTTCCCTTTTTAAAAAATATAATTATTATAATGTTTATATTAAATATTAAATATAAATAATATTAATATTTATAGCTAATGAGCTCTTACTATATACCTGGCACTGTTTTTAAGGACTTCACCCATTTTTCTCAATCAGTTATTACAAAAGCCCTTGGAAGTAGGCTCTACCATTATCCCTACTTGGTATATGAGGAAACCAGGAACAAAGGGGTTAGGAACTTGCCCAACATCTCATAGCTTGTCAGTGGTAGAATTAAGACTGGAATTCCAAGCCTGAATCCAGAGTTCACCAAAGCAACTGGGCAGACAAAAAAGAGTGTGCAATACAGAAAAAAATATGAGCCAGCAAGGCAAGAAGACCGGTTCCTGCTCCCAGACTGATTGTGTATATTATGGAGACAAAAAATTCCACTTCATTGGGTCTGTTTACTCATTAATCAAACCAAGGCTCACCTCCATTCTTCCGCCACTCTCTGCAATGGCTCTCTATGGCCTTCTGCAGCTTCCCGAAAGCCAGGGAGGGTTCTAGGTCAATCTCTAGACTACTCCTGTGCCTATGCATGATGGGGCCTTTTCTCACTTCTGTTCAACTCTTGCTTTATGAATTAGTAAGGTGGCCCAGGGTGAAAAGAGGTCTGTCTCCTCCTCCACTTTGTTCCCCTCCTCTCAGAGGGGAGACGAGCCAGGAGTCACTAAAAACAATCTCAATACTGTCATTTCAGTTTGACTAAAACCACAGGGGTTTAAGATACTATTCTTGAATTTAGGGTGAAATAGGTAGAGATTCCGAAGAAAGAGCTCTCATTGAAAGCACTGAGACTATGCCACTCATTTTAAAATCACTTGCCGATATTTAAGTTATCCAGTATTTGATGAGATTAATAAAACCCTGCTTTCCTTTCCATGTGGCTATTGTCCTTATGTGAATAACTCTTGACAGATCAGAGATTGTGGAACTTCATACACCCCTCTTTCCTGACCTTAAAGCTGTTGCCTGCTAATCCGTCAGCACCTCCTTCTGGAGTGACTTGTGCCTCCCAATTGTTTCAGGGTGTGCATCACAAACTGTCTTCCCTTGTCTCACTTCAAGCACTTCAGCTTCCTCAGATAATGTTAAGTAACAACACATCATCATCTTTTCATTTTCTAAAAGTTCAAGTTTTTACTATAGAATTGCATATAGTTTTCTTTGTAATTATTTCAATCTCTCCTATATCACAATCCCAATTTATCTATTTTTGCTTTCTCTCTTTACCTTATCAGACTCAGGAAGGGTTTACTATTTTATTATCTTTCCAAAGGACCAGACTTAACATATATTTATCAGTTTCAACTTTTTTAATATACTATTTTACAAAAATCAACTTTGATCCTGCCTAAGTTTTATGCTTTGTTCCATTGTTTTGTGGGTGTGTTTTTTTGTTTTTTTTCAAATTTGTTTGGACAAATACAAATTCTTTTATTTCTAATCTCTTTATTTAAAAAATGGTAGCAATTAGCCACATCCCACACAGTTTGTAGTATGTTCTTTTTCTGTGTTTCATGGAGAGCTTGTATTTATTCTCTTAACTTTTCCTTTGTTCTAAAAGTGTCTTTTCTGCCGATACTGGTTTGGCTCAGTGGTAGAGAGTCGGTCTGCGGACTGAAAGGTCCCAGGTTCGATTCCGGTAAGGGGCATGTATGTTAGTTGTGGGCACATCTTCAATAGGGGGTGTGTAAGAGGCAGCCGGTCAATGTTTCTCTCTCATCGATGTTTCTAGCTCTCTATCTCTCTCCCTTCCTCTCTGTGGAAAATCAAATAAATATATATATATTTTAAATAAAATAATAAAATAAAAGTGTCTTTTTCTTTTTCTTTTTAAAAATATATTTTATTGATTTTTTTCAGAGAGGGAGGGAGAGGGATAAAGAGCTAGAAACATTGATGAGAGAGAAACATCGACCGGCTGCCTCCTACACACCCCTATTGGGGATGTGCCTGCAACCAAGGTACATGCCCTTGACCAGAATCGAACCTGGGACCTTTCAGTCCACAGACCGACGCTCTATCCATTGAGCCAAACCGGTTTCGGCTAAAAGTGTCTTTTCTTCCTTCACATCTGGTCCGGTATGCTTTTAAATGATTTAATTCTAACTAAAACTTAAATCTTTTAAATTTTCTTATGTCCAACTACACTTTTAAATTTTCTATGGATATACCCATAAAAGTGGGTATTATTTGTTCAAGAGATATAAGGTTTTAGCTAGACTTACTAAATCAAGCATTTAGTCTATTATTTAATTTCCCTATGACCTTACGACTATATCTTCCTTAAAATCTCCTAGGTATATCTTATATGAGAGAACTATATTCAAGTCACCTACCAAAACTGTATTTTATATTTGTCCTTATATTTCCTATAGACTTTTCCTTTACGTATTTATGTAGTTGCCATATTTTTTTGTGTGCAGATAGGTTTATGCTTCTTAGTTTCTTTGTAAATTGTCCTATTTTTCATTTTCTGATGTTCCTTTTTATGTTGTTAAATGCTTTTAATTTTAAATCTCACTTCCTCATTTGTGTTCATTTAATATCTCTTTATCTTATTTCAACTCTTATCACTTGGATTATATTACTTAATTATAAATTAATTGTAGCTAGCTTTTGTTTTTCACTCCAATCTCTTTTTCAATGAGAGAATTCACTCCATTCATAGTTAGGGTAGAATATGTTTGACTTTTACTTTTAAAAATGTATTACCTTAAAATATTTATTTTATATTATTACTTTTTCCCCTTTATGAATTTGGTATTTCCACCATATTTTTATATTCCATTAATAATTATCTTCCGACAAAAAAATAAAAATAAAAACAGGCTTTGCTATATTGGATTCATAAGAAAATATTTAATTGGGCAATATTCTAACAACTATCGTAGAGAAAGTTGACATAATAAAATGGCCTCGTGTATGTATGTCTCTTCTTTGTCTTTCCCTATCTAGTAGTCCCCTATCTAGTTATTGGTTAGAAAAGTGATTCTTACTGAAGGATATACCACATCCCTAGAAGATATCTAAATATATGTAGGCATATTTGTGGTTGTTACAATGATTAAAAATTCTATTGTAATTTGATGCTAGGTATGCACAGATGCTAGATGTCCATTTCAGTGGACTTGAGGAAAAAGGTGTACCTTCTCAGCTCCCATCAGTAGATAACTGACAAATAATGTCAAACATCTGCTCCATATTTGGGCAAACAAGGGCCATGTCCATCTAATGTCCAATTTGTCAATGATTTAGGACAACAGGCCAGGTCAGTGAGTAGGACAGTGAATTGAATGAGAGAGAGAGAGAGAGAGAGAGAGAGAGAGAGAGAGAGAGAGAAGAAATGGAAGATAAACAGCATAATGTATTAGTTATGAAAGCAGATCTACTAGCTATGTGAGCTTAGGCAAGTTGTTCAACCTATGTGTGCCTCAGCTCTCTCATGTAAAATGGGAATTCTAATAGAATCTACCTTGCATAATTGTTATTAAAATAATTAACATGCTTAGAATAGTACTTGGCATATGAACAGCATTATAAGAGTTCTGTTAAGTAAGTAAAATATAAAAGGGGCCACGAGATCACTTACTAAATTTAAACTTCATCAAGTGTGTCTTCTTTAAAGACATTAAATATATTCATCATAATAACAGCTTACATTACGCACTAAATGGTTCACATGCTTTGACTCATATTCTTCACAATAGGTCTGAAAGTTATTAGTATTTGTATTGTCCCCATTTTACAGATAAAAAAACTGAAGCAAAGAAGTCAGATAACTTGCTTAAATTCACATAGTAAAAGGTAGAGACTAAATTTAATCCCAAGCCATCCAGTTTTCCAATTCACTCTCTTAAGCCCTATACCTCACATATACAATCTTTATGAGAAGTTCTGAGTTTGATAATTAATCAACAATAAGAGTGGATATGAGGACAAAGGAATTCTCTGCTGAGAGATGTGGTAGAAACTCAAATGGTAAGTGACTACTGTTGAGTCTGATTCTCATCTTCAAGATATTGTATAATTACCCTAAAAGCTTTACTAACACTCTGGGGTAAGGGAAATTTTGCCATAAGAGACATTAAAAATTGGTAGGATCCAAACCTTGCCATCCATTACCTTTCACTACACAAATATGATCCCTCTGAATAGGCAAACTATAGATTAGCTAATCTTTAAAGAAGGAAATTATATACTCCCTAAAACACAACTCTTTCAGTTATAGAACATTAGTTATCAAACTATAATATTCAAGGAACAGGCATAGTAAAAGGCAAACACAATGGAGAAGAATTTGGGAAAAAATCAGGTAAAAGCCATAGAGAGCATATATTTTAAAAGGGAAGTGGTCAGTGATATCAAATGTTAACAAAAGATCAAGAAAGATATGGAAAGCAAATTATCTGCAGATTTAATAAGAGGGAGATAGTGGCCTTGGAAAAAGTAGGAATTGAAATCAGACTGTGATGTGTTGAAGAGTTGAGGTGAGGAAATAAAATTATTCTCAGATAATTTTTTTCAAAACTTTAAAGGGGAAAATGAAATAAGACACAGATAGTAACAGCTAACATGCACTATACCTATGTATTAAGAGCTTTACATGTCTATAATAATGAAAGAGTAATATGCTAATTAGACCGAATAGCCAAACCACCTTCTGGACGAAGCTGGGCTGCGAGGGCCAAGCCCCTTGCATGAATTTCATGGGTCAGACCTCTAGTATTAACTAATGAAATACAACAGTATAGGTTCTTCTACTATGACTATTGTACAGATGGGAAAAGTGAAGCAGAGATTATAAAGTAAGGACATGGAACTGGTAAATAATAAAACTAAGATTAATATTTATTTTTTAATTTAATTTTTAAACATAATTTCAGATTTATAAAAATAATGGTAAGAAGAGTAAAAGGAACTTCTGAATACCCTTTACCCAGATCCCCCAAAAGTTAACATTTCACTATATTTGTTCTAGCTTTCTCTCTGCATATACAAGTACATTTTGGTTTCTGAATAGATAAAAATTGTAGACATGCCCTTTAACCTCAAAATACTTCAGTGTGAACTTCCTAATAAATGTTTTTACATAACCACAGTAAAATTATTTAAAAATCAGGAAATTAAACCATCAACCAGTACTATTATCTAATCTACAGATTTGATTGAGATTTTGTCAATTATCCCTATACAAACCTTTATAGCAAAAGAAAATCCCCATTTATTTTAACAAAAGGATAATATACTGAGTAAAATTCAGTTTATCCAGTAAAAATTGGTACTCACAGTAATACTGTCCAAGAGTTTGGCCATATGTTTAATAATTTCACCATGTTGTGCAGGTTGCATTTGCAGTAATTTCTTAATAACAACGACACTTTCAGCAACAACTATTTCTAAAAAAGAGATTATTCATATTAAACACATATAATTCAATTAAATTCAAATTAGCAAAATATTCTACATGTCTTAAACGACTAGGTGAAAACTACAACCATGAATGTACTTTGAAATTTTTGCGGTGAATATCCATCTTAAATAGAAGAGTATACTTTAACTTCTACCATGTTATTATCTCTTGGCTTATGATATTCCTTTCTAATCTCTGCTTCTTTAAATCGTAAACAAAATGATATATTTATTTTCCTACTCACAATTAACATATGGTAGGTATCTTAGTATCATTATTTTATTTTTTAATTACAGTTGACATACAATATTATATTTGTTTCAGGTGTACAACATAGTGATTAGGTATTTACATATCTTACAAAGTGATCACCCTGGTAAGTCTGACATCAGACATAGTTATTACAATATTCCCTATGTTATATTTGATATACCTGTGACTATTTTATAACTCCAATTTGCATATTTTAATCCCTTCCTCCAATCCAATTCCCATTTGTTGACCCTTTGTATCTATGAGTTTGTTTCTGTTTTGTTCCTTTATTTTGGGGTGTTTGTGTGTGTGTGTGTGTGTGTGTGTGTGTGTGTGTGTGTGTGTGTGTGTGTGTGTGTATGTGTGTGTGTATGTTTAAGATTTTACATGTAAGGGAAATCATATGGTGTCTTTCTCTGTCTGACTTATTTCACTTGGCATAAAGAATCAGGTATTATGGGCTAATAATCATTATGCAACCATAACTAGACAATACAATTTAAATTTCTTAATATAAAAAGTGTAGAAAAAAATCATGGTTCTAAAGAGTTTTGGTTTACCAAAAACAAAAGCCTAAAAACATTAAAATAACAATGTTTTCATGATTAAAGCCTCCTACTTTTAAGAGTGGTTATAAATTATATTAGTCTCCCATTACCTATTTATAAAGTAATCTATTGCTCCTTTAAAAGTGCTACAGGGTAGACTATTCATCTTTTAAATCAAAGTCAATAAAAATATTTTTGAGAAATTAATGTGCTAGAAGCTAAAATAGAAAAATGTGCTTTTAAATTCACAGCTAGAAAATTTCATAAGAGAAAAAAGGGTCAAAATATAAAATTGAAAAATCTTGAATATATTTTGTACTGAAAAGAACAAATTTGTGTTCTAACTGATTTGTGGTGCTTTGTTATATGTAATTAAATTTTAAAATAACTACATGGTAAGCCATGGTTTAAAATTGTAATTTTAAATACAACCCAAGTATTGTGTCTTATTTGATCAAAAAGAAAGTCATTATTAAAGATGTAAGAAAATAAAAACAAGTTTTTGAACTCATATTTTAAAGTGTGATATAGAAATAGATAAAAAGGATATTAAAAGTAGAAAATAGATAAAATGTATAGTTAGCATCCTATTTTCTTTAGTTACCTTCTACAGTCAATTTGTTTAAGAATCTATCTACCTGATAATTTACATTACTACAGTTATTTAGAGATTTACTTCTACATGTAGAAAAGTATTCTATCAATAACATCTTGAATTAACAGGTAAAAGATTATAATTTTATGTTTGCAATAAAAAACACTCTTGTTTGGGGATGAATTTTGTTTCAATTATCTTTTCATCATAAGAACTTATAACAATATTCCAGTTTTATAAAGAGATCTACATGTGGGGGAAAAAAGAGATAATTAGGAATAAAAGAGTTATTGTAGTGAAAAGCGATTTTTCAAATAAAATAATCAATTTGTTATATTTAAACTATGGTTGCTATGTCATATATGCCTGGGTCTAAATATGACATAATTTAGAATCCCACAAATAATTTCAATGATTTTACATTAAAAATTATGTTTTTCTTAAAAAGAATCTCATTTTAATCAAGTACATAATTATAATAAATATCCTCTACATAAACTATTTTAAAGGTGACAGCTGACTCATTTTTCTCTCTCCCCAAATGGCCTCATTTAATCTAAAGCCATACCATAGAAATAATTGACATTTTACCACAGTACAGTATCTAGATTATACATTTTACCATCTAGTTTTACAAAATATTTAAATATTGTAGGGCTTAAAAATATGAAACTCTTCCAAACTGATGTTATAAATCTAGGATTGATCTTGGATTTCTGGGAATAAACTTTGATGGTAACACATTCAACATACTTTTTGATCTAGCAACTTCTCCATGGCACAGAGTCATTTGCCTGCTTTTAGCACCCTCTGCAGGTGAACCAATATTATACATGGCTTACATGCCATTGAAAAGCAAAATAGAGCCTTTGAGACAGGGTACAATGAAGGAAATTAAATTGTGAAGAAATGAAACAAATTATACTTTTAGTTCTGTTCAGGCAAGACAGATATTATTTATAAGTTAATTACCCAATTTACTAAAAAAACAAAACAAAACTCTATGTGTGTTTCAAAGACAAAATGCTACTCATCATGACCATGCTACCAACATACAGGAAAAAATAAAATGCAAGCATACTCAAATGATAAATTACTTGAAAAACAAAATGAAACTGTCAACTTACCATCTTTGTTGGACAGCAGACACACCAGGCCATTGAGACATGTGTCAGTGACTTCTAAGATGTTTGTTGCACATCTGCCTATAGTTTGAATAGTGGCTGCTGCGAATTGCTTATCCTGGCTTTTTACGTAAGTCTAAAAATATTATTTCAATTAGTTTATACATTGGTACTATATCAAGTGAACAAAACATAATATAATAATGCCTGTTATATTAAGTTTTGTCAATACAAAAATTGCAGCATACATAATCTCATCTATAAGTACAATGGAAGAACTAAAAAATGACTTAGCTAAATTTAGTGTCTTTTTTACTTAAAGAATGTGCCTATAAAAGAGGTACATTTTCAAGCCAGATTCATTCACTTGTGGCTACCGTGGCTTATGACTCCAAAACACACAGTGGGGAGCAGTTACCCAAAGATAGCAATTAGTTTAAGTGCAAGGCTGAGATAGGATGAGAACTCTCTTTGGAGGTTTCAGATCATTTCAGTTCATTCATAGCATCTGTGAATTTATAGGGGGAAAAGGGGTTGATTTTTCAGAGACACTAAATCTAAAAATTGGGAGAAGAGGAAGAAAAAACCCTATATGCTTCCAGAAATATTTTACTTTTAAAATAGTATCTGAATAGTAGTAACTCCAAAATAATTACAGTGAACGACATTTCAATAAAGACTTTATAAATATTCAGTTTACAATAAAACAAAACACCATACTTTTAATAGATTTTCTTAAAAATAATTTTTAAAGATACAATGTAAACTAAATATTTATACAAACTTAAAAATAAATAATTCAATTATTTAACAACAGGAAATTAAAAGGTTTTTACAAAATTTATGATAGCCCAAAAGAATTTCATTTGGTTAAACTTTCCTAATTTAAAAACTCAGCTTTTATTCTTTACAGAAATGAAAGCACTTTTAACATGCACATTTATAATATATATAATAAAATTTAAAATCCAATATTCAACTGAAATCCCAAGCTCCAATGAGATATTCATGCTGTAGATTTAACACTGTGGTTTATCTAAAATGCAAAATAGAATAATACATTTAAATGGTGTCTAAATGATAAATCTAAGAATATCTAAAAACTTACAAATTTAGTGAAAATAGTAGCAAGAACATGATTAATTGTTGAAGAAATATATTAAACAAATGAAAGTCTCTAAGTTCCACTTAGGAAAGATCAATTATATTTAAAAACCATTACCCAGTTGATTACCTAATTTCCTCAACTAAAAATAAGAGTCTTTAGAAAAATTCACTATTTTACTCCAAAAAAATAAGAAAAAATACCTATCAACATAGCAAACACAAAAATAAGGTACAAAGAGAAAAAAATGAGAAAATGGATACTGAAGAAATAATATATTAAACAATGGACCTTCTTAAACATCTGATATTATTGTATATCATCAATATTCTGAAACAGGTCCAATGTGTCACCTCTATACAACTAACTCCATAAAATTATTCCTTCCCAATGACTGTTTTATTTAAACAATTACATATTTCAAAATTCAGAAAGACATATATTTAACTTTAAACTTAACAAATGTCAAGAATTAGCACTGTATACAAACCTGAAATTCTCGAAGAAGAGTTGATATGTTGGCTTCATTTGCCAAGTTTGTCAAAATTTCAAGCTACAGTAGAAAAAAAGAAGTAAACATTTTGAAACAAACAAAAAAGATGAATTTAATAAAGGCTAAGCATTTAATAGAAAGGTAACTTATGCTTTTAAAAGAAGTCACAGTTAGAAATGTTGTGAAACATTATAACCTTCAAGTGAATTTTGTCTCCCTACAGCTACATATATTTACAAAGTGCTGAACAAGTAATCACAAAATAGAGAATCCAACATTTTCCCTAATTGTTTGTCCTAACTTTTCTACAATTTATATCCAATTAACCTAAACAATTTAAGGTAGTTTGACTTTTTTTTCTGTTACTAAGAAAATTAGAAAACTGCCGCCCTCCATGTAATACCTCTGTGCTCCAGATTAATTGCCTTACTGTGTCTTCTTCATCCTACCACCCCTAATTCTTACACATTTTAATTATTCTGGATTTAGAGTTATAAGAAATATGCAATTAAAAGCCCATTTCCAATAGGCTCACTAAAAAGATGTTTTTACTCATAAAAAATAGCCAATTAATCTGAAGGAAAAAATGAAAAAGGAAAAAAGGAACAGAGAACAAATGGGACAAACAGAAAACAAAAAAGATATAGACATAAACACATTCATATCAATAATCACATTAAAAGTAAATGGTCCAAATATTACAATTAAAAGGCAGAAATTGTAGAAGTTCTTTATATATTCTAAATATCAGTCATTTTTCAGATATATGTATGGATATATTTTCTCCCAGATTATGGCTAGACTTTTCATTTTATTTTGATGAGGTCATTTAATTTTTCTGTACAACTTAAAAAACAATATCAACATAGAGAAAAGGTAAAAATAACTATTTTTTATCTGAAACATTTGAGACCATAGTTGCCAATTTGATATCACAGTGTCCCCAATTACTTCTATGCATATTTTCTACAAACAAGGACATATCCTACAGACCACAATACAACCAAGAAAATCAAGACATTTACATTGATACATCACATCTATGCGATTGTTACTCTCTATTTGTTTCACCAATTATCTCAATAATGTATAATAAAAATACCCAGTTTAATACCACACATTGCATTTGGATGTGTCTTAGAGTTTCTTATGATTAAACTCAGTTTCCATGTGAATAGCCAATAATTCTAATATTTAAAGTCCACCCTTTCCATATGGGTTTGTAATGACTCCTCTATTACACAGTACACTTTCATATACATTGATCTATTTTCCAGGTTTTCATTCTATTCCACTTCTTTTTCTGTTTTAATATCACATTGTTTTAATCCATACAGTGCTATATCCAAACTACACTCTATACTGTAGTTATCATTCCCTCAAAATAACTCTTATATTCCTTGTGTTAGCATGAACTGTGCCTATCTCCTACTTACAACTCTACAACCTCCCAATCAACCTACTAACCAACTACAAAATTCTCAAAAATGTTTTTTTAAAATAAACTCAAACATCATCTTTTTCACAAGTTTTTCTAAATCTTTCAGAGAAGACTTTTTTTTTTCACAGCACTCAATTCAAATCTCCATAATATCACAAACTGTTAAAATTATCTATTTACACATCTGTTTCATTCAGTATACTGTGCGTTATTCAGGATATAGGCAGTATGTTTTCACTTTGTAGTAAGATGTAGCACAGTTGCCGAAACTGGTTTGGCTCAGTGGGTAGAGTGTCTGTCTGCGGACTGAAGGGTCCTATGTTCGATCCCGGTCAAGGGCATGTACCTTGGTTGCGGACACATCCCCAGTAGGGGGTGTGCAAGAGGCAGCTGATCAATGATTCTCTCTCATTGATGTTTCTAACTATCCCTCTCTCTTCTTCTCTGTAAAAAATCAATAAAATTAAAAAATAAAATTAAAAAAAGATATAGCACAGTAACTAATACTAGGTGTACCAGTTAATAATGTGGATTTTTTTCAATAGAGTTACACGTATGTTGATATATATGCAATTTGATACATATGCTATTTTGGTGTATTGACAGCAAGCTTCAAAACTTCATATGTCAAATTTGCTGAATGTGTTAACATCATAGATATTTTTACGCTTAAAAAATGTCAAATTTCATGCCAAAAAAAGAGCATTTGTGGGAAATTTTAATTCATTACTTTATTTTGAAGAAAAGGTTATTGTATACTGCAGGAAGCTTATGGTGAACATGCTCCATTTCAAGATGCTTGTGAATACTGATTTAAACACTTTTTAAGTGATGATTTCTATGTGAAAGACAAAGAATGTCCAGGTCAACAGAAAAAGTTTGAAGACCAACAATTAAAAGCATTATTGAATGAAGATGCTTGTCAAACTCAAAAACAATTTGCAGAAAGATGAAACATTACTCAGCAAACAATTTCCGATCATTTACAAGCAATGGGAGAGATTTTAAAGGAAGGAAAATGGGTGCCACATCAAATGAACGAAAGACAAATGGAAAACCAAAAAGGCATCAGTAAAATGTTGCTTCCGTGGCACGAAAGAAAGTCTTTTTTGCATCGAATTGTGACTGGCGATGAAAAGTGCATTTATTTTGAGAGTCCCAAATGTACAAAATCATGGGTTGATCCAGGTCAACCATCAACATTGATTACAAGGCCAAATCACTTTGGAAAGAAAACAATGCTCTGCGTTTGGTGAGATCAGGAAGGTGTGGTGTATTATGAGCTTCTAAAACCAGGTGAAACCATTAATATTGATCACTACCAACAACAAATAATCAATTTGAACCAAGCTTTGATGGTGAAATGACCAGAATGGGCCAAAAGACTCAGCAAAGTAATTTTGCTTCATGATCACGCACCATCACACACTTCAAAACCAGTTAAAGACACCTTAAAAGATCTTGCCTGGGAAGTATTAACCCATCACTGTATTCACTAGACCTTGCTCCTTCAGATTACCACTTGTTCCGATTGATGGCACACACACTTTCTGAGCAGCACTTCAACATACAAAGAAGTGGAAAATCTGGACTCTGAATGGTTTGCCTCAAAACAAGAAAAGTTCTATTGGGATGGTATCCACAAATTACCTAAAGATGGGGGAAATGTGTAACTAGCAATGGACATTACTTTGCATAAAGCACTTTTGATGTTTCTCTTGAAATTAACATGTTTTCTTTTATTACAAAATCCACATTATTAACTAGTACACCTAGAATATAATAATGTAGTATAGGAAGTATAAAGAAAATCCCTAAATGATGGGTATTTAAAAAAAAGATTCCCATTTTACAGATGCTAGAATCTATAGCGGTATCTTCAAAGAAAACACATATTAGAGTATCTGAAAAATAAGAACATGCCTACCTTAAGTGTCTTGATCATAGTTGGATCAGTTGACCTAACATAGAAACTCTTCAGATAAGGTTCAAACATACCCTAAATGACAAAAATAAATATGCAAATACATTTAATGGTACTAATGCATTCATTTCTCTCTTAAATTATGTACTCACAATGTACATACCTTTCTTTGAATTGACATAGTTGCTATGTTCTGTAGGACAATATACTGCACCTCCCTAAAAATTAAACAAGAATTTTCACTGTGTATGTTTTCCAATGAAATATCTTTAAGTACATTAAAGAAAAGGAATTAGTGGTAAGTTTCATACTAAATGGAACTCAAATATAATATTGAAAAGTTTTCAATAAATTGCAGATATTTGTGCCTTATTTTAAAGTGCATTTCCCTACAAATGATTAATAAATTACATTAGATTCATCCTAAGATGTAAAGCCAATACTGTAGCTGCTCTGAACACATGCAAGAAAGGCATTCTTAGGCCTGATGAAACGTGACTGCAGAGCTCATATAAACTTGTTGTGTCGATTCTGCCCAGAGAAACATCATGATGAGAGAATCCATTAGCTGCCCCCTGCATGTCCCCTTATGGGGATTGAGCCCGCATCCTGGGCATGTGCCCTTACCAGGAATTGAATCATGACCTTTTGGTTCATAGGTCCACACTCAACCACCTAGCCACACCAGCCGGGCCAAAAGATACTTTTAATTCCTTTGGGCTATTTGGGCTTGAGGTTTCAAAAATTCAATATTTATCAAAAACTTTGAGATAAATGAAAGTTACATTTTATTGTTCAAGTATTCTTTTTGAAGAAATACAAAAGAAAACGTACATAAAACCATGTCCTACCTACTGCTACGAAGTAAACGCACTAGTGATTTAGAAATAATGCCAGCTTCAGCTCTTGGTGATATGTGCCAATACAGCTGAGCAACTGCCATAACCACCTAAAAAAAACAAAAGCAAGAAAACAATCAGAACTATGAACATCAGAGCACACTACAGTTTCAAACAACATTCTTATATATTATTTCCTTTAACTCCTATAAAATTCCTATAAAATACGATGAATATGTTACCTTTTGTAACAGGTAATTAGTATCCCCGCCCCAAGAATTCATGACTACCCTCAAATGTGAACTTATCTGGAAATAAGGTCTTTGCAGATGTTATTAATGTAATGATCAGAATGAGATCATACTGAATTAGGGTGGGCCCTGAATCCAATGAAAGTTCCTTATAGAGACACAGAAAAAGAAGGCAAATTGACAATGGAGGTAGATATAAAGTGATAAACCATTCAAGGAATGCTAAGAATTGTCAGTAACCAAGCTAGCAAAAGGCAGTTTTTCCCTCAGAGCCTCTAAAATAACAGCATTTTTTAATTTTTTTAAAAAATTATCTTTATTGTTGAAAGTATTAAAGATGTTCTTTTTTTTTTTTTTTTTTTTTTTTTTTTTTTTCCATTGACACCCTCCACCCTGCACCTGCCCCTCCTAGGCCTTCCACCAAACTACTGTCAGTATCCATGGGCTATGCATATCTATACTAATCTATACTAATAAAAGAGTAATATGCTAATTAGAGCAGACAGACAGAATGTCTTCCAGATGTCCTTCTGGACAAAGCCATAATGGCGGGGGACAAGGCAGAAGCAGTTAGGGGCAATCAGGCCAGCAAGGGAGAGCAGCTAGGGGTAATCAGGCTGGCAGGGGAGAGTGGTTAGGGGCAATCAGGTCGGCAGGCAGAGTAGTTAGGGGTGATCAGGCAGGCAGGCCAATGAGTGGTTAGGAGCCAGTGGTTCCAGATTGCAAGAGGGATGTCCCACTGCCAGCAGTCAAACATTCCCCGATGGTTCCTGGATTGGAGATGGCGCAGGCCTGGATGAGGGACCTCCCCGAGTGCATGAATTTTCATGCACTAGGCCTTTAATATATGTGTGTGTGTGTGTGTGTGTGTGTGTGTGTGTGTGTGTGTGTGTTATACACACAAATAAGCAGGATAACAAAACATGCGGAACAAAAAGTTCCTCACTTCTACTTGGTACACAACCAAATAAGCAGGGAGCCAGGGAACCAGAACATACTGGGACAACAAGTACAATCTACCTCTATAATATGTTTCACCATTCAAGAACATTTTTTGGTCAGTATTTGTACTACAAAATCAACTTCCAAGATAAAGTTAAATTAATAGTAGGTCAATTATAAACTAGAGTTTTAGGTGGCAAGTAACAGCTACTTCACAACCATCTCGCCAAGCATATTTACAACATTAGTAAAACAATAATTTTTTATTACTATGCATCATTATTTAATAATGATTCAAAAACTAAATTACTAAGTATAAGATAAAATGTCTGCTAATTACTAACACATATATACAAAGCTCATACTCTAAATTCTCAAGCATCAAAAAACAAAGTAATTCACATGAAATTCTTCATTTTCAAAGTTTTTGCTATTTGAAGGGAATAATTCATAACAATATTTTAGTTGAAATTTTTTAATAAAATGTTTAACTTGAATCCATCAAGCCTTTAGCTATAACTTCCAGTTAATAGGAAATGCAGGTATGGAAGAAAAAATTAAGTAGCACTCTATATAGGAATCAACCAAATAAATACAGAAAAACATCCTGCAAGAACTGAGAAGTTTAAAAGAGATAACAAGCAAGTGTGAAATGTAGCAGATATATTTTGCCAGTTTAGATGAATTACTTATAAAAGATAATTTCAGATAAATTGGTATTAAATGAGATGAAACTTCATTGAAATAGAAAGGTGGAGAGGACTGACTAGAAAATAAACAGGTTAAAAATACTACATACAGTATGATTTCTATCTTGATTTAAAAATATATATGTGTATAGGCATACATACATGATAATATATGTTTATTTATGCAGAAAAAAAGATCTGGAATAAAATACATTAATATATTGTGATAATGAGTTCTTAGTGATGGGGAAGTGATGTTTCTTTGTTTTTAGTTCTGCTAGTCTGCATTTTCTAATCTACTGTGCATGTATATTCTAAAAATAAAGAATTATTTAAAATAAAAAAGTTAAACCAAAGTAAAATAAAAAATTAGGGTACAGATACAGATTATTTTTAATAGTTATTTCTACCAGTTAAAATTTACTATGTATAAGGCATTATGCTAGGTACTTTTTATCAGGTAAATACAAATATAGACTGATATCACATCAAGTACCCACAACTACAAACTAGCAAAAGAGAAACACATAGTCTTCCAGTCAGTTCTGAAACACCTTGAGCTCGTATCTTAGGAAAAACCAATTAACAAAACCACAGAAAAGTACTAGTAAATCAAGTCTAATAGGCATACAACTATCAAACCAAGTAATATCATCAAAACTTTTTTTATATAAAGAAATAAGCAAATGCTCCATTAGCACACTCGAATATAAAGACTTGTTTAAAAAACTAACATACTTTCAGCCATATCTTAAAAAGAAATCTGTGAGAATTATTTCTTATAAGTATGTTAACATACCGCTGCATTTCTGCTCTGAAGCAAAGGTTTTGTATTCCGAATTAAAAGTCTATGGTCTGGATCCATAGTATAAGGCTTTTTTCTTTTCTCAGCCTTTTCTTTCTGTTCCTCATCAGACTCATAGAAATTCTTTTCGTTGTCCTCTAGACCATCATCCTACAGGAAAGAAATCCAATTCCATGTTTAGTTCAGACCCTGAACAGCCCAAACATGGCAAAAAGAAAATTTTTAAAAACTTCTACAATAATGATAATATTTTACTATGCAATATAACTGTTGAGGTGATTTCAAAATACTTGCTACTTATATGAAGGTCTTAACACAATAACTGTTCCTTAGTGATATACATGATATTCTTTTATACAGGAAAACTAAAAAATATTAAATCCTCATAAAAGAAAAACCCATAGCTACTACTACTCAAAGGGAGAAATCTGGCAATTAGACTCTAACAAAGCCAACAATATGAGACTACCTAAAACTTGAAAACTATTTCTATAAATTACCAGCCACAATGTAATTGGATCAGAAAAAAAGGATAATTTTTTTAACTCAACACATATAAAAGAAATCATAATAAAGCTTGACAGGTTTACAACTAGTGATTAAATAGGTCCTTATGTTGTCAAGAAAGACTCAGTTTGAGCTTTAGGTATATCCATAATAGTTTATTCTGTTTTGTCCTTTATACTTTAAGTCTTTATTATCTTAGACAGTCATATCAGTCTATAGGCATTTAGTCTTAAAAATTTGAAAAAAAAACACAAAAATAATAATATCTATCTGGGTCCAATTCAACTACTATTTAGAGGTAATTTCTATTATCAAGTTTCTGAAATGTACTTTCTAATTCTGAAAGAATGAAGTAGATATACTGTTCCCTATTCTTCTCACAAAGTACTACCAGAAACCAAAGATATTATATATAAAACAAGCATTTAAAAAAGGAAAGGCAGAGATCAGAAGAGTGAGTAGAGAACTCAGGACCCAAAGGATAACTATAGTGAGTTCATTAGGCTTTCATTTTTATCTCATATTTAAGACTGGGTGCTAGAGAAGCAGTTAATCCAGAAACACCAATAAGAATAAATTAAAAAAAAAAAAAAATCTTCCAAAAGCCTGCCTTATGTTTCCAAAGGACCAAGAAATGGATGGTCCAGCAAGAAAATAACTTTTTTTTTAGAAAATAACTGCTCTGCTGCAGCCAAAACTAGAGAAAATACCATGGTCCCATACCTATCCTCATCTTGCAAAGGATGAAAGGAAGAGAGTAGACTTTGACCCTCACCGGCTGTAATGAGATGCCCCAATCATCCCACTGTGGTGGTACATACCAGAAAAGAATAAGACAGCACTGAGACTTCAATTCCCACCAGGAGTTAAGTGAGACAGCCCAATGGTTCAGTGGAGATCAAGTGGGGAGCTTGGACATTCAAGCTCACCTATAAATAAGGAGCTGACCTTATCCCTCCTCACACTCAGCACCTGCAGCACCCAGTGGTAACAAGGACACACCTCTCTGTGGTGTTAGTGGCGGATACATGTATACAGAAATGAAGCACTTCTATTCCCCACAGACAAAGAGCTATCGGGGAAATATTAGTGGGGAGCCAGAAATCACACATTCACTCACAGTAACAATAACAACCACAACCTCTGTGACAATCAATGGAGGCTGGCGCGCGCGGGGAGGGGGCGGGGGGGGGGTGGACTTAAAAGGTACCATGACCTGGCAATAATAATAAGGTACTTACCTCAGTTTGAATAAGATCAAGAATTTCATTATACCCACAATTTCCATGTTCAATCAAAAATAGATTTTAATTCCAAGAGCCCAAAGGATCTCAAAATAGATGAAAAAATAAACAAACCAGTAAATCCCAACATCTGAGAAGTGGGGAGCTGCTGTAATAAATACCTAAAAATGTCAAAGTGGCGTTAAAACTGGGTAATGGGTAGAAGCTAGAACAATTTTGATTTGCATGTTTAAAAAACCAAAATTGCCTTGAAGAGACTGTTAGAGGAATATGGATGTGAAAGTTGATTCTCATGAGGTTTCAGATGGAAATGAGGAAAATGTTACTAGAAACTGGAGGAAAGGCAATTCATGTTATAAGGTGGCAAAGAACTTGGCTGAATTATGTTATAGTGTTTTGTGAAAAGTATAAGTTAAATGTGATAGACTTGAATATTTAGCTGAGGAGATTTCTAAGCAAAAGGTTGAAGTGGTCAGCCTATTTCACCTTGTTACTTATGTAACATGAGAAAGATAAATTGAAAAAAAAATTAAGCAAAAGTTAACCAGAACTTGAAGATTTAGAAGTTTCTCAGCATATCTTTTTGGCAAAAATCAAGAAATCTTCAGAAAAGAAGGCCAAGGGTATGTCTAGAAAATAATTTGATAAAAGAGATCATGGGTACGACTCATGGATTTAATAGAGATGGAATTTTACTCGCAGAGACACTGCCAATTGGACTAGAGAGGAGAGACTGTCAGACTTCTGAGATTCCACAGGACAGGACAGTGTGAGGACACAGAGAGAAAATATCTATAAGCCAAGGAGAGAGGCCTCAAGAGAAACCAAATCTGCAAACACCTTGATACTGTCTTCCAGCCTCTAGAACACGTGTCAAACACAAGGCCCGCGGGCCAAATCCGTCCCGCCAGGCCTTGCAATGTGGCCCGCACCGCGCTGTCATCACTGCACTCCGCTGCGTTTCCATCACAATGACAGTTTATGACTGTTCAGTAAACCATTCGGTCCGCGATTTTGGCTGGATTTTAGATTTTGGCCCCTTCTCTGATTGAGTTCGACACCCCTACTCTAGAATGATAAGAAATTGATTTCTGTTGATTGAGCCACCTAGTCTGTGGTTATGGCAGCTCTAGAAAACTAATACAGATATCAACAAACTATTCATCAAAGAGATATACAAATGGGAAAAAAAAATCCCACCTGCAAACATGAAAAAATAATCAACTTCATTAGCTATTAGGGAAATGCAAATTAAAACTAGAGCAAGATATCACCACACACCTATCAGAATGGCTCCATTTAAATTTTAAAAATAGTGACAAGACCAAATGACAGTGAGGACATAGAGGAAACTGATTACTCAGAAATGGCTGGTAAGAATAAAAAAGGTTACAGTCACTCTGGCAGGTTGGCAATTTCTTACAGAACTAAACCTGTAATTACTGTATATTCCAGTAATTGCACTCTTGGGCATTTATCACTGGGAACTGAAAATTTATTCTCATACAAAAACCTGCACACAAAATATTCACAGCAGCTTTATTCTTATTAGCCAAAATGGAAACAACCCAGATGTCCTTCAATGGATGAATGGTTAAACAATTGGTTAAATATCTATGCCACAGAATATCACTCATAAATAAGAAACATATTACTGATACCACTCATAAATAAAAAACATATTACTGAATAATCTCCAGAAAGAAAAAAATTAACCCTAAAAGGTTACATACTATATAATTCCATTGATATAATAACATTTCTGAAATGGCAAAATTATAGAGATTGAGAAACAATTAGTGGTTGTTAGGGATTAAGGGTTGCAAGGTTAAGCACAGGGAGGAAAATGGGTTTAGTTATAAAATGGCACCATAAAGAACTCTTGTGATGGCAATGTTCTGAATCTTGACTGTATCGACATGCTGGTTGTAATTATAGCTTTCCAAGATGCTACCACTGGAGGTAAATGAGTAATGTTACACCAAATATCTGTGTTATCCTATATAATAAAAGCCTAATATACTAAGTGTCCAGTCATCCAGTTGTCCGTACAACCAATCAAAGCATAATATGCTGATGATATGCTAAGACCACTCAACCACTCACTATGATGTGCACTGACCACCAGGGGGCAGACACTCCGACCATTAGGTTAGCTTACTGCTAGGGTCCAGCCAATCAAGACTGAGAGAGAGGGGCTGGACACACCCTGAAGTCCTCCTGTGGTCCCTCCCCAGTTGGCCAATGTCCCACATCCCTCCCTGGCTTCGATCGTGTACCAGTGGGGGTTCCTCAGCCTGGCCTGTGTCATTTTGCAATCCGGGACCCTCAGAGGATGTTGGAGAGCCAGTTTTGGCCCAATCCTGCAGGCCAAGCTGAGGGAACCCACTGGTGTATGAATTCGTGCACCGGGCTTCTAGTTTCTTATAACTACATATAAATCTACAGTTATTAAAAATTAAGTTTTAATAAATAAAACTAAGAGAAAAAATGAGTAAATCACATAAAATCTATTTATACATATTTATTATTATAACAATAAAATAAGTTATCTAAGTCCTGGCCTGGTGACTCGGTTGGAGCATTGTCCTATATACCAAAATTTCCAGGCAGGGCACATACCTAGGTTGTGGATTCAATGCCCAGTTGGGGTGTTTACGGAGGCGACCAATCAGTGTTTCTCTCTCACATTGATGTTTTCTCTCTTTCAGTCTCTCTCCCCCCTTTCCTCACTCTTAAAAAAAAAAAAAATCAATGAAAACATATCCTTGTATAAGGATTAAAAAAAAAGAAAGAAATTATCTAAAATATCAAACTTTAGATTGCTTGCTGTTGGTTTTGGGGGTTTTATTAAGTTGTATGAGTTCTTTATATATTTTGAATAGCCCTTTATCACATGTATATTTGTAAGTTTCTTCTCCCATTCAGCAAGTTATGGCTTCAATGAATAGGTTTCAGGAGACACAAATATTAATTAAGTTCATATATACCACAGCAATATATTGGTAGTACACCTGACACTGGGTTAGATGTCCCTGACAAGACCAAAGTAGGTAGGTGATTAGCATGATCATAATAACCTAATTAAAATAGCTATTCAATATGAGTAGTATACCTTATGAGAGAAATACATTCAGTAGAAAAATGTCATGTGTAATAAAATTTTAAACTTAATATTTTTTGCAAAGAAAAATTAAAGAAAAAATCTCTTTCCCCCAAAACTGAGTCTATATAAAAAACACACACAAAGGATATGAATACTGGCTTGGAGACTTTTTTTCCTTCTGTGAGGTAACTGCTATGCTCTTCACTTTACATGTTTTATACCATAGCCCAGAGACCACTGTACCACACAGGTAGAAGTGTGGGTTTGAGGACCATTGAACACTGAATCTCCCT